CTGGGAAATAATGTCAGTTGCATCCTTCAGTTAGGCGTTCTCTCATGCCAGATGGGTAAGATGCCAAGATTTTAAAATCTGGCAACAGTTAAGCAGGTTGAACAGTTTACCTGCAAAGCTCGATCATCTATTAATCATGCAAGTCAGCTGTTGAACAAAACATTTGCTTCGTTCCAGCTTCGCAAATGAGAGAATTTGCTGCTTTTCTTTGATTTATATGATTGAGTTTTGGACTGTTGGTCTAACAAAACGAGTGATCTAAAGGCTTCACCTTGGGCTCTCCATTTTTCACTGCTTGTGCACATTTTATAGACAAAACCGATTCATTATTTCTTCATCATTCAAGATGTTTGGTTCAGACAAAAGGCATTTGTTTTGATATTCAATACAAGAATTTTCACAAAGAATCTAGAGTTGACTTTATATGCAACTTAATTGCCCATGATATCTGTATGTCTAGGTGTCTTTGTATTCATTGGTTTCATCTCAGTAGCACTACCTCTGCAGGTTTCCTTCATGTTATTGATGTTTTTTGAGAAATTCAAACCCACAAGAATCCTCCTCCAAACTGGGTCAGGCTTAAATCCAGCAGGGTCAGGGATTTAGGTTGGATTTCTGCCCATCTATGAGCTGAAAACATTGTTCCAGGGATTCCCCAGAACTGAGTGAAGGAGCCTACTGAGCAGTCAGTGATAATCCCTGCTGGCTCCCACATTCAGACTTGAACGCCCAGAAGCAAACAAGACTTCTAACAAAGAAACACAGAGGTTTTTGGGGTCCTTGATGCTTTTAGTCCTGTTTAAAGCAAGAATGTTGATCCTTGAGGGAAAGTCTATTTAGAAACATCTCTCAGGCAAACAAATCCCAAATATTCCCTGATTCCCTGCCTTAAATGTGAGAATTTCAATAATATTGATTGCACCTTGGGGTTTTAGACTGTTGGTCGGACAGAATAAGCAGTCAGAAGGTGTCAGCTTGGATTTTTAGGTATTGTGGTGCAAAATCAGAAAATAAATGCACAGATGACTCAATATTAAATTTTTTTTTCATTCTATACTGTACCAAACGTTTTCCTAAAGAGCGGTAACAATCTCTGCATCCAGAGAAAACTGGACTCGCTCGCCAAAGGTTGCCTGAGGAAATGCGAAAATCTCATTTAATACTTTCAGGGTAATGACCAATTATCTCGTGCTGCCACTCGGGGCCACTGAAGTGCAATTGCAGCCTTATATAACTTACTCCAAATGAAAGTATTTGGACAGCAGTGTGTCAGAACCTTGGGCTAAATGTCCCGGATTATGTTTCAGCATCGGCACAAATGGTCAACTAACCTTCATCCAAGATTTCCTGGTCTCTAATTGTGCTTCATATTTTCATTGGAGGTCTAGTGTAAGTGGTCAAAACACGTAACTGTCCCTGTAATGTAATTTGAGATGTCCTTTGACCAAACAATGTTTAGTCAGCTATGGCCTCACTGATCTAAAAACATACAAATTAAATTGCAGCTTTCTTCAAAGATAAACTTAATACTTTTTTTTACTGCAAGTGTTTTGAGGTTCCTATAATTTAGATACAAGAGATGAAGATGAAATGTGGATTGTTAATTAAACCTTTGAGAAAAAGGAGGTTTTTTGTCCCATGAGATAAGGTAAGATAAACTTTATCGATCTCACACAGTGCAATTGATGTTTGTGGCACAAACTGCAAGTCAAAGCATTAAACTGTCACTGAAGTAACTTGTTTTAAAACTTCAATACAACTCAAAGCTTCACAGAGTAAAGCTGCAGACCAAGCATTGTTTTATACGTTTTAAAGGGGAGTCAATGAAAGAACTTTGACTCTTGGTCTGCAATGTGTTTTAGCCACAAATCTCAGCATGTAAGGTAAACCTTTCATGGTGGAGAAAATCTCATTCTGACTTTCTTTGCATCCAACAGGACGACCTACATGTCCATTAATTCACAACAAATTAATGGAAAATCTTATGAGAATATGAGAATATTTGCAGAAAATCACATACGGAATGGAAGCTTGTTCAGGATATAGTGTCTCTGCTCTCTGTACCTTCTTTCTGGTGGTGAACGACGGACGGCTCATCCTGTGTTCGTTTGTCTTCCGTGTCTTCCCCCTGTCAGTTCCCAACCCCCTCGGGAGCGGACTACCACGCCCCCTTTTGTCCTGTTGAATGCCCCGAGCTCTGAGTCTTTTAGCAGGGAAGTTAGGCTGAGAAAGACACTGAGTTTACCCCTCAGGCTATTGTTATCACGCCCCTCCAGAGGCCTGAGATGGTCTGGATGCTGATTTACATCACTGTTGTTGTTCTGAGTTGTTGGATTGTCCGACTCTTATTCCAAAACAGTCAGACCAAATCTGTCTATACCAGGGGTAGGGGGCAGCTCTTTAGTTTCTCTCCAGTGGCTCCCTGTGACAAAAAATTATGGATAAAGGTTAGTTTGTAACATTTTCATGTAACGTTGTTGTAAACCTCTTATATTCTATAAAATTGTGTTGCCATTGTACACCAAATACATTTTTTTTGGTCAATTTTGTCAACTTAAAGTTAATTAAAAGCAATGATACTACTAGTCACAGTCCCACATTTGATTTGTGGCTCTTTTCTTTAGATAGTAAAGGCTAAATTGCTGACCCCTGATCTAAGTATCTGGTGCATCCAGGTATTTAAATAATTACAATTAGCACTTTCTCCAAAGACAGAAAAGATATCAGATGCTATTGCAGATGTATATTGCAGATCACAAGCAGACAATTTGACCCAGATGGGAAAAAACTGCAGGGATTTTTGTGATTTTCTTAAACTTTGTGTAAAATATTCAGATTTTAACACTAATATTTAGGTGGCAAAGGCTGCATTCATGTGTTATATTCTTAATATGTCACAGAGCATTGTCCTTTGTGAGACTCATAAGGATTTTTCTCTGCAGGGATACAATGGTGGTCTCAATTTGAGCTTTTCATTTTCACTTCAGGCAGCTTTAATTTATTCAGTTTTAGAAATACTGAAAAGAAGGGATAAAATGGACCTTTCTCAAACAGAAAGAGTCATGGATGAAGTGAGAAAGCCTAAGTCTCTTTTGCTGCAGACCTCTTTTTGTCTTTTCAGATGACACACAGACAGGACTTTGACGCAGCACGAAACTTCAGAGAATGAAATAAAAGATAGAAAGGAAGAATAAAGGAGCAATTCCATTTACCAAGTTGGTCAGGGAACTGTGTAAGCCTCCCAGAAAGAGTGGTTGTTGACGTCCCAGAATCAGCCAGAATCTGAGCAAAAAGAGGAAACGATAGAGATAGAAAACAGGGGGAAAAGAAAGGCAGGAGGCAGAGGGCAGCTTCCTGACACGGCTCAGCTTTGTACGCTGCGGTCCGGCCTTATGCAAATGTCAGTTATGCTAATGTGGCTCCCTCTGCGGCCGGTGGTGGTTAAAGGGCGCCATTCAATCACTCAGTCAAGATCTGGTGGTGAATTGGCCTCCCTTCATCTCAGCAGCTCAAATGGGCCATCAACGGGCTATCAGGGGAGATGGGCGCTGAATAAAGGGGGCATTACGAGTGCGTATGAAAGCACTCTCTTATTCTGAGCCCCCCTACGCCCACTGAGGTTACAGGGTGAGAGGGGTCCCCGGGAAAATGGCTTTCCCTGAATGCACTCCTGTACGTAATAATGGTATCTCAATGCCAAGTGTGTTTTTTGGAGGGTTTTGATTTGTTGCTGGCTGCTGCTGTCGTACGCACTTCTCTGAGTTCAAAGTTGTGAATGACTGGAATGCAGTGTTATGTGAGTGGTATGCAGTGTCATGTATGTGGATATCTGCACATGCGTGAGGAAGTTTAAAGGGATGGAAATGTTGGTTTTGGTTGGTCTGCATCATATGACATAGTTTGACATTTTCAGCAATCGAGGGACTTAAAAAAGGAGATTTTTGCGCAGATATTTAGCCTTTTTTGGCTCATGGTTTTGGTTTTAACTGTCTGGTACCAAATAAGTGCTGTCAAGACTTTAGATCCTGCAAATAGACACTTTTAGGCACTATAAAGGTATTTGAATAACTGTTACATGAACATGAACATTTTACAATGAGAAAAATACTTAAATCACAAAGTAAATTTAATTTGAAACATATTTATTGGATATATATACTATATTTTTAGGTTTAATAAATCTCATTATACTATCTTTGTATCGATAAAAACATGTTGTTTTGATTATAATTCTGCTGGTTTCACAGGACAAAAATGTGTGAATTTATGTATGTATGTATATTTAACCCTAAAATTCAGAAATTAATTCATTATCCTAACTTGTCGTCTCAAAAGAACATCAGCATCAAGCATTAGCTGATGACTTTCATTCTGCAGGACACTTTAACACCACGGGACACGTTCATTATTGTTCCTCTGCAATTTAGTCCAGTCAATGCAGTCAGCTGCTCTTACAACACTATTATAAGAGTATTGACAATTGAGGACAATGTGATCCTATCATCCAGCACAGGGTTTGACGTAGGTGTATTTTTTTCACAGCTGTGCTGATTGATTTTAGATTCTGACTCCATTCCTGTTTGAGAGCAGGTTTAGAACATTGGAAATGTTATTACAGAGGGTACTTTATAGTAATTGAAGGGTAAATTGTAAGTAATTCCATACTGCTGTTTGCATTCTGGGTAGAAAAGGGAATATGTTGGTGGGTTCTTTATTTTTTTGGCCACATATCAATTTAAAAAGGCAGAATCTCCTGTTAGCTCTATATTTGGTCTCCACCAACTCCTGAGGGAAATATCTGGCTCTTAAGCTGCTAAATGCTCCATGTTGTTCACCTGCTAGTTGCTAACTGTGTCTGTCTGCTGGTTGTCGCTGAGCGGGTAATGCACAGTGGGTTTAATCTGTTGAAATTTGCAGAAACCCTGCAGTTTTGAATGTGTGTCTTCAGTCAAATGGCTTCATATTTAGCCTAAATTACCATCATTAATCTCTGCCTCTAGATGCCTGACCAGTTTGACCAGACGTTGGTTCTGAACCAGCTCAGATACTCCGGCATGTTGGAGACGGTCAAGATTCGACGCACCGGCTTCCCCGTCCGGAGACCTTTCCAAGACTTCTGCTCCAGGTGAGTGGAGACTTTCATCACCTCAATCATACATATTGTATTTTTATGTGACAGGTATTGATGGTTGTGTCCACACTGCTCTGATGAAACTCCTACTGAAACAATATCCAGGTGTTTGTTTAACTCCAATATTCTCCAAATGCTCTCAGCACTAAAAATTACAGTATTAAACTAGAAATGGAGCAGATCTCTGCTCTCTGTAACACAAACCTGTAGAAATACCTAATTCTCCTCTAATTAGTAGAATAAAAACTAGATCCTTTCCTCTTCAGGTACAAGGTGTTGATGCGGGGCGTGATGCTGCCAGATGACCCCAGGGGGAGCTGCGTCCAGCTGCTGCACCTCTATGACAGCAGCAGTGCAGAGTGGCAGCTGGGCAAGAGCAAGGTGAGGACAGACATCTTGTTTTTATACTCAGATGAAGTTGTTTTGTCATCTTCATGTCTTTTTATTGATGTTTCTATTGCATTTCCCCTTTGAATATTCTGTGTACATAATCAGTACATAGAGGTAGGATGCATCATAGGATTGAATCATTAGAAAATCATATCAGAACAGTCAGAAAGAATCAAATGCGTTCGAATCATTTCCCTTCCGATCAACGTAAATGCCAATGGACAGATTTTTTTGTTGTTGTTTTTATTGATAAATTGGGAGTAAAATCAATAAATCTTTCAGTGTATAAGCGATAGAGTATTTCATGTTAACTTCAAACATTGTGTATAGAATTTATGAACTTTAAGAATATGATTAATAGATTAAAATGTGCCTTGCGCTTCCTCCTTGACTCACGGTCAACCCAGGGTTGCTGCAAAAAGGGGTGTGGTTCTACTGCAGTCCACTTTAAGTGATGTGTTACACTGTGACTGGCTTATAGACATCTAATCAAATACGTTTATGCATTGGGAGGAGTAAACGTATATCTAGACATCCTAGAAAAGTTATGTCCATTGTGAACTGGTTAAAAAAAGCTCTTTTGACTAATTAAAAATTTCTCAAAACTTTTCCTCAGAAATGATTTTCTCTACATATTTGCATTTCCTGTCTGTCGGCAATGAACCATATCCCTTCTGCTCAGTTCTCTACACTATAATTGACTTTCTGCTGTCAAATCCTGAGCTCCTGAATGTCCTGTCGATTGTTCTGCCTCCGGCTCACTCCGGCTCATCCGTGTTCTCCTTGCTAAAATGAATGTGACCGAATGCAGGCTTTCTTTGTCGCCGGGGGGACGCCAATCCATTTTGGCTGCACTCTGCTCCCCTCAAGGCTTAATTTGGCTTCATGCGTCTAACAAATCCAGCTCGATGAAACCATTCCAGAGCTCAGGTACCTGTGCGACTGCAGGCTCGGAATGTATGTGTGAGATCATGAATAATTGAAGTCCAGAGCACCTGAAGCGTGGCATCCAACAGTTATTGGATCCAGTCTTCCTCCCCTCGGTCTATTGCTCTCTGCTTCCACTACACTGAATCAGAAAGAATATACCTACTGCCTGTGTGTGTGTGTGTGTGTGTGTGTGTGTGTGTGTGTGTGTGTGTGTGTGATTGCTGTGGGGAAATGACAGATGGGGGACACAGATCCCTAATCACAGCATGGCCATGTGATGCTGCAAGGGGTGACAGCAGTGGAGGATACATGTATGTGTGGGTGGACGGATGAACGGTCACTAGTGTGTGTGTGTGTGTGTGTGTGTGTGTGTGTGTTTGTCCAGGACCAACAAGCCCACAAGAAACTGAATTAAGAGTCAGTATCACAGTTGAATTCACCCATTCACCAAAAGACCAAATGTCACAGTAAAAAAGCTCACTTGAGTAAAACAAGAAGAAAATAGTTTTAATAAAAGGAACAAAATGCAACAAAAACAGATTTTTCTAAAATAAAGCATTACACTAATGTGACCTTCTTACAGCTGCTGTTAAACATGCTTCAACTCCACCAGAAAGGCCATAAAACAAAGAACAAGCTAAAAAGAGAGAAAAGCCGTGTTTGAGCCCTGCTTGTGTTTGAGAGCAGGACGTTATATGGATCCAAAATTTTCAATGTTATGTGGAAACACTATCTGCGTAAAGCTCCAGTGCCAATCAGGACACTGATTCTCTGATAACTTAAGATCCAGACCAAAAGCACCAAGATCTAAACAGTGGATGGTAAAAATGTGGCCTCAGACTGGATAAACAGTCAATGTATGACAGCTTCTGGCAGACAACCACAATGCTGATGCAGGCACAAAGGGGATATGATGCCATTGACAGGCGACCGGTGAAACGTAGCGTTACCGGAATAAAATAACAGAGTTTGAAGTACATAGCTCATCAACCTACTATATAGCTTAGGTCTAGTGTTATAGACATTTTAATGCGGAAATATTACATATTATAGCTTTAACTCTCAGTGGTGGAATTAAAGGCCGTAGCTACAATCAAACGTTGAATGGATGAAGAAGTACTCTTTAGAGGAGATGCTCCTCATTATGTCATAAATGTCATATTAGGAAGGAGCAGTGAAATAAGATGAAATATCTGCACACTGGTTCCAAGCCAAACATTAAGTCAACATATATGTACACCAAGCTATCGTTCTCTTCTTTAAGACGTCTTGGAGCCAGAATGGTGAAAATGTAAATACTGAAGAAGACTGTTCAAGTCTCCCTCTCTCCTCCTTGGGGTTTTAATGTGCTCGATGCTCCTGTGTGTCAGGGAGGACAAACGGCGACAGGGCAGCATTGAAATGTCACCATTTACCAGATTTACAGTGGTCCGTTTTTATTATGTCCTCTCGATTAAAACTCCTGAGAATATTCACTTTTTGACAGAAACACACATCGATTTGCATTTTAATGTGCAGACCTTTCTAAAATGTGGTGCGTCACGCCACCTGAAAGCCTTCTCTAGAGCCTCTCTCTGCATGACCCACAAAGGCGCTCCTGCTGCTGCGACTGCCCGTAAACCGTTAAATCAATTCTAGCTCCCTCAGAGGGATTCGTCCACTTTGTCCCTGCTGCCTCTCGCAGTGAGATTTACATCGAGCCGGCCTTCAGCTCCTTTCAGTCGGCACATGTCCCAACTATTGTCTGGGAGTTGTTTTTTTGGTTTTTACAGCCTCAAACTTAATTTCCTGGAAGTGATGTGGCTCCGCTTGCGTCTCCCAGGGTTCTGTTCTCTCCACGGGCCCGACCTGTCACCGCGAGCGGCGCTCCCTGAAGGCCCCGACAGCAAGAATCAAAAGTGCGCCGAGGCTTAGAGCGGCTTTTGTTGCACTAATTAGCATAGTAATGATTAAAAAGGATTAGTTGTTCTATTCATTAGGATGCAAATGTGCACGCTCGTACACGAGGACGTATTTTTTGAGCATGTGTGATTCATGTTGGAAGTTGTTTAATAAAGTGAGAGTGTGTTTTGTGTGTTTTGTGTGTGTGCGTGTGTGTGTGTGTCTCACTTTGTCTTTTTTAGAAGTGTTTACTTGTGTGCGTTCTGGGGACATAAATCTGATCACACATTGTGGGGACTCACAAAGACCTGGTCCCCACAATGCTAATCTTTCATTTTATGTTTATGGTTTTGTAAGTACACTTGAATAAGTGTGTGTTTGTAGACATAGTAGTGTGCAGGAGTATATTTATTCTGTATATTAATGTAAGCTTGGGTAGCAGCACAAGAAATCTCAGTACTTTGGTCTAAGCTCAAATTTATGGAAGCCCATTTCTGCCAATGTGACCACAAAAAAAGGATTCTGTAAGTTAATATAAAGAGAAACTTTCTCAAAATACTGACATAGCCTCTTAAAATAATGACTCTGTGATTTTAGCAAACTTGGTTACATATTGTTGTGTAAATGTGATAATGAAGCAGTTCACCGACTTTATAACTATTCTCTTCTTTTGATGCTGTTACACCACATTTTGGCATTCACCATCCTCTAATACCTCTTGTGGCCACAGTCGCAGCACATTTTTCCCACAGTAGCCTACTTGTGTACCTTTATTCAGAAAAGTTGACATAATATTTTAAAAATAAGACTGTTAATTGTAATAGAGTGTATTTATATGTTGGTACTGTTTTAATACCAGTCTGGTTTTAGAGGTTTAATCAGCTCTGAGGCTTTAAATGCTGCTCCAAAGGCTTCTGCAACCTGACAACAACTGAATTCAGAAGGAGGAGGTTTTTTGTGCCTCTGTATTTGTGTGTGTGTGTGTGTGTGTGTGTGTGTGTGTGTGTGTGTGTGTGTGTGTGTGTGTGCATGCTAGGGCATGTACTGCATGTTTCCCTGTTAATTAACCTGCTTGTCAGTGACGTCCAAATCACCCCGACGAGTTTACATTTCCTCCTGAAAATCTCATTAGTGCTTCACCGCTGAGGATTCAACACTCTGCCAACAACAGACACACACACACACACACACACACACACACACACACACACACACAGGGTACATCATTCAACAGGAGAAAGGCAATCTGTACTCCTGTACCCCCGTAGCACCGTGACATTTCCCCACCATCTCTGACGCCCGAGACCACGTCCCATATCTCATTTTCCTCCCTCCCTAATCGGATTAACCCCCGGCATCCCTCGGTGGGCCCAGTTTCTCTATCAATGGAGGACAGCTTGGCTCCTATAGCGGGCAGCTGCACTAAGTGCCTGTAAGATCTGTCTTTTCACGGAGAGATGTAGCCGAAATCACTCTCTGCAGTAATCTGCAGTCTTTAGCGGCGTGAACAAAAGGAGAGGAGGATCTGGATTTGATTTATGTCGGCGGCTTTGTTCAGTTCAGTTGTTCTCCTGGAAGGGAGTGTCTCTTAAACGAGAATGTTGTAGGAAAAGGAGGGACTGTCTCTTTTTTAATTCTGTTCACTTGTAAATTCATAATGTGTATGTAATACAGCGTATGCAATGGATGTCAACCTTTAAATGGGCAAACACATATACATGTTTTTAAAAATTAATTAATTGCTATTTTCCAATGTATCTAGGCTAAATGAACAGAATTTCATGATTATCTTTCCAAAATATGAGCTGGTTATCCATATTAAGGCAGGAAGTTGCTGTATGTTCATTACTATATTAACCCTTATAAGGGTGTAGTACCATAATACTTATTCTCACTTAATTACACACATGGCCTATAATACAACTGTTAGTAGTGTCCAGATAACTCTGAATTAAGTCTTTCTACCTCACAATATGTCCCCCATTCTAAAGAGAAGACTGCTCAAGCCAAAGACTTTACTTTAGAACTATTACACTTGTATCCAAAAACAGCGATAGAATAACAATAAGGATTAATTCATATCCTGTATCTCACCTCCTCTCCTCCCTCTCTCAGGTCTTTCTTCGGGAGTCGCTGGAGCATCGCCTGGAGAAGCAGAGGGAGATGGAGGTTCTGAAAGCGGCCATGATCATCCAGGCCCACGTCATGGGCTACATGGCCAGGTACCACTCAACAATCATATCAAAAACCTTCTCAGAAACAGTTTCAATGTTCATTGTGACCTAAAGTCCCATTTGCACACAGGAAGCAGTACAGGAAGCTGCTGCAGTGCATTGTGGTTATTCAGAAGAACTACCGGGCTTTCTACTGGAGGAGGAAGTTCCTGCTCCTCCGCTGGGCAGCGCTCACCTTCCAGAAACGTGTGCGAGGCCAGCTAGCCCGCCGGGCCTACAGCCAGCTGCTGGAGGAGAGGAGGAGGAGGAGGGAGGAAGAGGAGGAGTGCCGCAGGAGGATGGAGGAGGAGATGGAGAGGTGGGCTGCTCAAGTGAAAGTAGAGTGATTAAGTAGAGGGATTTTCATTTACATTCTACCAATTCCTGCTCTCATGTAACACTTTTCCCCAGTTTTTGTTGCTCTAAATACTCACTGTCTGGTGCTGCAGCTCTATTGAGGCGGGAAAACAAATCTACTGGTGAGCCTCGACCAGCAGAGATTGATGAAGCAAAGACAATAGCGCCACCTACAGAGTACATCAATAGAAAATCCAAGGAGGGCTGGGCTGTAGGCTTCTCCATCTTTCAGAAACAGTATCAAGAATATGACCTCATATCCTCATATGGTATCTCCAACCACAATTCTGACTGAAAAGAGAAATGTAGGGTTAAAAAAGCAAAGATGGAGACTAAATACAAATAAATATCATGTAGAATAGTCAACTTACCTCTGAAAATCAACATAGTAATACCAGCACACATTTATTTACACTTACTTGGATACTTGTATTTATAAGAAGTTGTACAATGTATATATATATAATTGTACAATGTATAAGATTTGCTTTTCTTTTGCTGTTGCTCGGACGGACTTCTGTCTGACCTTCACAACCTGTATTCTAGATGGGTTTTATGGGAATTTAATACCACAGTGAGACAGGAAATGTAATTACTTGTGTTTTGGTAAATCTTATCTCTTACCGTCTGTTTCAGTCAGTCAGCTGATGTCTGTCTGTTTGTGTCTGTGCAGGGAGAAACAGAGGCTGGAGGCTGAGAGACTCGCCAGAGAGGTACGATAAGTGTGAAAGAGTGGGTTACTCACTTTATAGTCTCTGTAGGCATATTTGGGTAGACCATTGAATCTTTCAGACACATTTTTCATATATTTTTGAATTTATTTATATTTCATTAACATTATTCAACCAAAATACAAGTCATTGTTTATTATGAAATCATACAATCTCCAGTTTATTGTCGTACAGTGCTAGACTGAATCCAAAAAACACTTGGCATTCAGAAAAATTTCCATCTTATTCAGTTATTTTTGTCTATAATTTGTCCCCAAATGTCTTATTTTTCTTAAAAAACATTCAACATTCTCCAAATACAGTAACATTATTTCAACCTCATTTCGAGAACAAATCAACTTGTTTCAGGAATTTTTTAGAAATGTGTGTAGGTGTCTTTAAAAAAAGCTAGAAGTAAGCAGGCAAAGAAGAATTAATTCATGAAAAATGACAACTGAAATAATAATTAGTTAATTGAATGAATTAATTAATAATATTAGAATCTGGTTAAAATTCACTGGGAGATTTCTTTTGAGCAATTAAGACTTTTAGGACAGACTTTCTCGATAGAGTTAACAAGAAGTGTAAGGAAGACAATTATTCAACCTGAACGTGTTAAGATGTTGATCATGGAGATGAAAGTGGAAACCATGCATCAGATTTTTTAAATGTTCTGTCTTTTTTCCGTCCTCAGGCTGAGGAGGCCAGAAGACTTCAGGAGGAGCTTCATCGCATTGAGGAGTTAGTCTCTGTGGCTCAGCCTCTGCCTGCAGTTGCAGCTGCAACATCACCGGACACCTTGGAGGAGCTGGAGTCAGCAGAGGCCCTCGAGGAGGCGCCTGAAGAAGAGGAGCCAGTCCGTCCTCATGAAGCGACTCAGGTGGAGGAGATCCTGCGACTGGAGCGGGAGATCCAGGCGTTGCAGAGGCAGAAGGAGCGTCAGGAGCTCTCTCTGACTGAGGCCTCCCTCAACCGCCTGCAGCTTCTCCGTGACCAGGAGCTCCGGCGTCTGGAGGATGAAGCCTGCAAGGCGGCGCAGCAGTTCCTCGACTCTCTGAACTTTGACGAAATCGATGAGTGCGTAAGGAACATTGAAAGCTCATTGGGAGTTGGCGAAGGGGAAGAGAAGGAGAAAGAGGGTAGACGGAGGAGAGGTAATGATGAGGAAGAGGTGGATGAAGGGTTTGGGGCTGATGATGAGGCCTTCAAAGACTCGCCGAACCCAAGTGAACATGGCCACTCAGACGGCCAGCGGACAAGTGGGATCCGGACAAGTGATGACTCATCTGAAGAAGATCCATACGCCAACGATGGTGTGATCCCACCACTGCCGCCAACCACCCTGCTTCACCAGCCGCCTTTACCACCAGTGCCCCCCGCCTGCCACAGCGCCTCCTCCAGCGGGGACTCGGCCTACTGCCACCCCCAGGCTTCATCCGAGGCTCAGTCCGACGACCTGGTGGAGCTCATACCGCCAGACGAGGATTCAGACTACGACCAGGATGACTACGATGAGGGCGCCATCGTGTCCAGTGGCAGCATGGCCTTCTCTAACCCTCGCAGCGGCCAGTGGTCTCCTGACTACCGCGGCTCTGTAGGCACCTACAACAGCTCAGGGGCTTACCGTTTCAGCTCGGAGGGGGCTCAGTCATCGGTGAGTTCGGTTTCACATGATTTTGATCCGATTTCATCAGTAGGGACAGTAACCTCTACTGCTGACTGAATGTAGTAGTTTAAGGGTTTCAACAAAGCATTTGTCAGTTGTTTCAAGAACATCAACTATTCATAGGTTTGTTAGATCTTAACACCTTCATCTTGAATATCTAATTTTTGTTGTTGTTGTTCCAGTTTGAGGACAGCGAGGACGACTTCGACAGGTTCGACACCGATGATGAGCTGTCGTATCGGCGGGACTCCGTCTACAGCTGCGTCACGCTCCCATACTTCCACAGCTTCCTCTACATCAAAGGTATCTCCTTCATTTACACTTCTTTAAGACCTCTGATGGACAACTTCTATGGGCCAAGAGAGCAGACCATTTTCCTTTAGAACAATAAAAGATCGTAGTGTTACCAGATAAATTTTTTCAAGGGGTTAAAAAATAAAATGTCACATGATATCCACCATCTCTCTGCACCCCCTGCAGTCACTGCCGTCCCCTTCAGAGATGTAGCAGTATAGTGTGAACACGAGTAAATATCTCATATTTTCCTCTCCAGGCGGTCTGATAAACACGTGGAAGCGGCGCTGGTGTGTTCTAAAGGATGAGACCTTCCTGTGGTTCCGGGCCAAGCAGGAGGCTCTGAAGCAGGGCTGGCTGCACAAGAAGGGAGGGGGCTCGTCCACACTGTCCCGCCGCAACTGGAAGCGCCGTTGGTTCGTGCTGCGACAGAGCAAGCTCATGTACTTTGAGAACGACGGCGAGGACAAAATGAAGGGGGTGCTGGACATGCATAATGCCAAGTAAGGACTCATCTGGGTAGCTTGAATGTCAAACACTGCAGAGTCCGTTTTAACCTTTTTTTTGTGTGTTTTTGTTTTTGTTGCATGACGTTTGCATTTAGTTTGACATTACAGCTTCAAAAACATTCTTAGGGTTTTATTACTCTTACCAGAGTAATTAAACATTGTTGTTCTCTGTACAGTCTAGACTCTAGACCTGCTCTATATGAAACATGTCTTGAGACTGAATTGAATTAAACCCTTAGTACAAAAGAGCTGTAAAAGAATGGTGAGTCGAGTGGAATGTAATTAAGTGTTAGTTAAGCTTATTTACATCATTACATTGCGCACATGAGCTTTAGAATTAAAAATGGTCATGTTGGACATTGGTGTGCACCAATATTATGATTATGGAATCTGAAATGATCACAATTACACATTATTAATAAGAAATTAACATTTTTTGATTGATTCCTGTTGGTGATTTAGATAAATAGCAACATGGACCCTCGTAGGGGACGAGGTGAGGAACTTCTGGGGGAGATTTACCTATTTTGTTTTTTTGTGATCTGCAGAGAGATCATTGATAACACCGGTAAGGAGAATGGAATCGACATTGTGATGCCAGACAGGACCTACCATCTGATTGCAGAGTCTGCCGAGGATGCCAGGTAAGTTGTGTGTTTCTGAGAGAAATAATAGAGATAACTTAATCAGAGATGGAGTCCAAACTGCTTTACACAGCAGGGTTTGAAAAGAGGAAACACAGTTACCCAGTAAAAAAAAGACTACACCCAGTGTCACCACACTGACATCTAAAAGAGTTTGCAGGTCTGAGAAGGGGACTGAAAGACACATAAATAATCTTTTTATTTCTCTCTAACTCTTCCTAGTGTTATTATTTCCCCATTAGGTTTAAACCCACACTCACACATCCTCAGTCATAGACCGTGTAATGAGTAGGTGGTGTTGTCGCTATGGGGTCGGTGTGCCGGTTGCCCCCAGCAACACATTGATTTCCTCTCAGAGGGACAGTCTACTTCCTCCATATATCTGCCCTGACAGGAAGATGAACAGTGCGTGTGTGTGTGTGTGTGTGTGTTTGTGTGTGTGTATGTGCTGGCAGCAGGCTTACAGTGGCAGCCTCTCTCTCAGTGTGAGCTAACATCAGCTCCATATGTCTGAGACAGAATCAGTCTGAGTCCGCCTTGCTTGTACACACACACACACACATATATACACATTCTCCAACATCATTTCATCCAATGAAAACACAGATATAGAAAGTTTGAAAGTGAGATATAGAAAGTTGACTGTTGACACTGACACAGCTGACTTCAAACTAAAGTAAATAAGGTTTAAAGGTTACATTATGAAATTCTCTACCACTAGATGTCGCACTAGAGCAGCAGCATCTCAGACCAAAACAAAGGTTGCTACAGCCCATCAGACTCCATTGACAAAACCAGTATTTTTACCTTGCAGATAATCGTGAAATACACTTCAACCTGGACAGACAGTAATCAAAACCGTCTTTCCAACAATCACGAATGCTGGTTTTATCAAAATAAACCCTTAATTCACTAAGTTAGAGGTAAAAATATTCACAAAACAGCCTTCAATGGCAGCAACACAATTTTTGAGGACAAACCTACCAATCAAAGTGCATCCTCTAAAAGTTGTTTCTGCCTCTCAGGGTCTGACAGCATTATGGAAATGATCTGGTTTGGTGGAAATAAATCCTTAATTCACCGATGTAGATGATAAAAACAGCAGTTTCAGACGCTCAGGAGAGCTGAGGAGAGACTCACATGCACTATATCTATGTGTACTATAATTTTGCATGTGTACCTTTCATCAAAGATTCTGAATAAAATAAGATGGATAATATGTTTTCTGTAAGGGATTCAAATTCTGATCTGAGTAGTTTGGACCTTCATACGTGTCCTGTTCACTGTCATTACCTTAATGTCTTGGTGACGATGCTGATGATGATGTTGTCTCCATGGTTACAGCCAGTGGTTCAGCGTGCTGAGTCAGGTCCACGGCTCTACAGAACAGGAGATCAGAGAGATGCACGATGAGCAGGCCAACCCCCAGAATGCTGTGGTGAGTACTGTGGGGGGAGCAAAGCACTGTGGGAAATGGAGTTGTAATACTGTATGTAGGCCGTCATTTAATATCTGTATACTTCAAGTTCACACTGTCAAATGATGTCTCGACAACAAGATGAAGTCAAAATCTTCTTCCCAGGACTCCACAGGAGAATTTAATTCTCAACTCTACAATTAAATAGTGAATGTGAAGATTTCTGTCTGATCTTCTTAACACACACACAGGAGGACACAGGAGATAGTCTTTATTAATGTGCTGCCTCAGACTAGTTTGTATATATACAAAGTGAAGTCAAATAGTTTCTGAATTAGTGTAATTTTCATAGAAGGGAAACGTCTGTATTTTCAACGTGGACCCTATTTTCTCATGTTTTTGTGTCTGAGCGAGACAGTGTTCATCAGTGTACCCGCGTCCACTATAAGTGCTGGTTGCCAGGTTGTTGACAGGATTATGGAAAGGATCGCTGCTGAGAGTAAGATCCTTTTTGTTTAACCAGAAACAGTCGTTCTATCGTTCCGTTTGAAGCCACCAGACTCCATTGAAAAAAACAGTGATTTTAGTTGTCAGCACAGGAGTTGCTGGTCTACCGCTGTTGCAATTGGTTAGTTTCTTTGTGTCATTGTGTGACTTTAACTCCACAATAAGTACATCTGAATCTGTTCACGTCTCTCCTTATCTTTCCATTGATTTTGCTGAAATTGTGCCACCTGCAATCAACACATTTTATATTCATGCCTTTTGTTCTGCGGTAGTTCTTCGTGTTGAACTGACAGCACACAGATGTGTTTGAAATGCTTTCTAATCCTCTTTTCAGTGTCGTACCTGTGATTGAACGTGTTGCTTGCTTTTATCTGTGTGCGTGTGTGTGTGTGTGAGAGAGAGATAATTGGTTTCCACGGGGCAGAGGGAGGTCAAACTCATTATCCGCACGCTGAACACTGTTACTGAACCTCTCTCTCTCTCTCTCTCTCTCTCTCTCTCTTCAGGGAACGTTGGATGTGGGAATGATCGATTCAGTCTGTGCGTCAGATAATCCAGAGAGGTAAGAACCTGCATCAAACGTCACGTCACGTGACTGGCTGCACTTTTTCACACACTACAGCAAAAAGACGGGAAGAGAAAGGATCAGTTAGATGAAAGGCAACACTCCTCATTCAGGCCTGTTGACCTGTTTCTAGAGCTCTTTGTAGGTGCAAGATTTAACAGCTTAGGTTTAATCATGTAAGTTTTCTAATATGATATCTTGTTACTGATTACTGCTTCAGTGACTCAATTTTATTTAGAATTTCCATAACATTTGTGGAAAAAAACGTCATTTGTTACCCAATTGCCCTTTAAATTTTTGTTTTGTACTTTATACCCACCTTTATTTTATTAGATTTTTAATTGATCAGCTATCTCTTCCTGCTGTTAGTATCTCCATTCACTGCATTTCCGTCACAGGCCGAACTCCTTCGTCATGATCACGGCGAACCGCGTGCTGCACTGCAACGCCGACACGCCCGAGGAGATGCACCACTGGATCACTCTGCTGCAGCGCTCCAAAGGAGACACCCGCGTGGATGGACAGGAGTTCATCATTCGAGGTGACAACGCAGAAAACTTGTTCAGGGGCCGTATGACAGAAACTTCTTAACTTTGAACTCTGCATTAGAAATGGTCCGCCAGTGTCTACATTGGTGTTTTGCTTATTGTGATATGATTATATAAGTCAATAAACCATAATAATTGAAAGATGAATTAATAATGAATTAATAATTTCATACAATGATGATGATTTTGCACAGTAACTTTAAACATTTGGGAATCTTCAAGTGCTTTAATGCTGGGAGTGCTGTTTGCTGCTAAACTATGTGTGTACACTAATACTTCTGAAATCACATCATGTGATGTTGAAATGATAAAATGAAAAGAAAAAAACAAATTCAAGCAACACAAATATCTGATTCCTTTATTTCCTCCAGGCTGGTTGCAAAAGGAGATGAAGAACAGCACCAAAGCCTCGCTGAAGCTGAAGAAACGCTGGTTCCTGCTTACCCACAATTCCCTGGACTACTACAAGAGTTCGGAGCGTAACGCCCTGAAGCTGGGAACGCTGGTGCTGAACAGCCTCTGCTCAGTGGTTCAGCCCGACGAAAAGGTCTTCAAAGAGACCGGTAAGAAAAGGAAATACGGACACGTTTTTTAAATATATCTCGTTTGTATTTGTGTCATTAAAAATGATTTCTTCGGGTTCTTCTTTGTGTCGTCCCGACAGGCTACTGGAACGTGATCGTGTACGGCCGCAAACACTCGTACCGTCTCTACTGTAAGCTGCTGAATGAGGCCATGCGTTGGGCCAACTCCATCCAGAACGTCATCGACACCAAAGCGCCCATTGACACGCCGACCCAGCAGCTCATCCAGGACATCAAGGTAGGCAGCTAACAGACAGGTCACAGATCAGTGGTTCCCAAAGGGACCCCTGTTTTATGGTTGATACTTCATATTATATTCAACATTAACAGTAGAGAACAGCTGATAAACTGTACGATGAACCCAAACAGTGAACCGCAGGAAGTTTGTGTAAAACCAGCGATTTGAATTGATTTTGAACAATTTCATAATAAGAGATGAGTTTTCCTGATAATTTTAGGGAACCTTTTTTTCTATTCTGTCATGTCTTATCTCTGTATTATGTATTTTTGGATTTTTATTGGGTTTTCCTCTCATTGTTCTATGAGCTCTTTTGTTGTTTGAACTGTTATAATGCAGGTCGAGGCTGTTTATGTGAATATAGCTTGTGTTAAGGTCTTAATCATGACCTTATCCTGTTTATATCTTCAATAATAATTTTTAAAAATTACAATTTCATTTAGTTTTCTTCACATAATAGAATGAAATCTTGAGATATAGAGGTATTCACCTACTGTGTATATTTTTTAAGTTTTCTTACAACCCTTATAATCGAGAAGGCCTCACGACCCCTAGTGGGAGATTAATGGATTTTATTTAATGCAGGGGATAGTTACACTTTATTTTTACCTCTTTAAACAGCATGTCCACCACACCACAAATCCTACCATTTATTCAGATATTTGACAAAAGCTATAAGAAAAACTAGGACAAATAAACTGGGGAACTTTGGATTATCCAGCATCCATTATCTGTGCAGGGTCGCTGGAGGCGAGAGTGTATCCCAACATGCATCAGCAGACACAGTAAACACTCTGGACTCCTGTATATCAGGGGGAAATACAGATAAACAGGATACAACCACACTGAGTGAAGCTCACAAACAAAACCTCACAGAAATGTGATGAAAACTTATTTTCTTTTCTCCATTTAATTGTGATTATAACCATCATAAAATTCAGGTCTCATTGACTCATGTCTTAAATTACTACAATGGACAATACACATCCAGAGACTGAACTCTGTCCTTGCACAGTGAAGGTCAAGTGTCCAACTGTAGGAACAAGAAGAAAAACAGATTTTTGAAAGGGGGACTTTAAATAATCAGGCTCCTCTCTGCAGGAGAACTGTCTGAACCTGGAGGTGGTGGAGCAGATCTATAAGAGGAACCCTATCCTTCGCTACAGCCACCACCCGCTGCACTCACCGCTGCTGCCGCTGCCCTACGGAGATATCCACCTCACCGGTGAGTCACACATTATAATCAGGACATTCAGGAGGAGGAATGGGCATCAAGTATGACTGAAATGTCAGCAAATAGAAGCTGCTGTATAATCAGGTTTGGTAATCAGCATGGAAATGGACATTTTCACATTTTTATGGCAATTTATGTAAAATGTTAGATTCAATTCAATCACCTCATTACTTTAATAGTTCCATCAAAAAACTCTTTAAAAATGTGTGTTTTTAAAAGCCGTAATGAATGTTTTAGTTATTCTAGTTTTCTCTTTTTATGTTTTTTTAATCTAGATATTATATTTGGGCTAAATGTGGTACATTTAATGGCTGTTTCTAACAGGATTTTGACGTAAAGTGCTTCAGTCTTCGAAAAGGCAGTTAATTTAAAACATGACCAAAAAATGGATGCCAAACATACCTTTTTTTCAAAAAATTGCCAATATCTGTGTTTTACTGTATCCATATCTTGTTATTAGAGTTGAGATTTTCTCCAAAAGGGTATAATATGTGATGAAAATAGGAGGTTACGTGTTGGGACAAATAAATGAAGGATGATGTCAAGGAACCACAATGGAAAATAGCATTATTAAATGGCAGGAATTGAATTTTAAAGTGTTGATTTTAATGCAGAATTTATTAGAAGATACAAACAATAAAGAGTTTTTTCACAGGATATACCACTAGGAAGGCTAATTAAATTGAAGACTGGTCAAGTGACATTATTACATACCTCGACCAAAAACACAGCGATATATGACCACAATCCAACAATGAACACAGACCATCCATCACATCACAAACCTCTTCCATCCCTCCCGTTCAGTTCCGAGAAACAGGAGCTACACAACGCTGCAGGACGAAGCCCTCAAAGTGTTCAGCTCTCTGCAGCACCTGGAGGGCGTGGCCGACCCTGTGCCCATCATCCAGGGCATCTTGCAGACCGGCCAGGAGCTCAAACCACTGCGGGACGAGCTCTTCTGTCAGCTGATCAAGCAGACGACGCGACCGCCGCAGCCTGGCAGCCCCGGGAACCTCTGCAGCTGGAAGATCCTGGCCTGCATGTCCTGCACCTTCGTCCCGACCAGGAGCATCCTCAGATACCTCAAGTTCCACCTGAGGAGGTAATGGCATGTTTACAGATGGATGAAGACTTTTTTTAATTATTCTTAAACCTGGTGCAGTCTCTCACGTTGTCCATCCCTCTCTCTGCAGGACCCGAGAACTCTTCCCCGGCTCGGAGATGGATCGCTACTCCGCCTTCGCCATCGACTCCCTGAGGAAGACTCGAGCCAGAGAGAACGTCCCGTCGCAGGAGGAGATCCGCTCCATCGTGGCCCGACAGGACATGAGCACCACCGTTCACTGTCATGGGGGAGGATCCTGCAAGATCACCATCAACTCGCACACAACAGCTGGAGAGGTGGGTTTCTGAAAATATACAGACATTTCAGAACCAACTGCTTCAAGTATGAGAAGGTTAAGCCATGGCGCTCTAAAAAGTACAGTCAGGGTTCCCATGTGTTCTGGAATTTTAGATTTAGAGACTAGTTTTACAGTCATGGAAACACAAATATCCTGGAAATTATCTGTGTTGTCCTGGAAACTTATAGGCTGTGGCTAAAGTAAAGTAAAATGCAGTCAGTTTATTGGAGAGTATGCAGTGAATTAACACGGCGTGTGCCATTAACACTGACCACCTACCTGTAATGAAGCAGCTGGTAAATGATATGACCGTTTGTGAGTCATATAATGTTGTGTGTTTTCCTGTATTGTCCTGGAAAACGTCCTGGAAAGGTCTTGGAAAATGATTTCTAAAGACAAGTGAGAACCCTGATAATTCCCACTTTAGTTCCCCTCTTTCGAATGGTCATTTTTGTGCATCTTTCATTATTTAATCTGATCTGCACATTTTGGAAAATTCCACTGTGGATTAATAGGCAGTGCCTCTAAAAATAGCGCTGGTTGTTTCCATCTTACTCTGTGTGTGTGTCAGGTGGTGGAGAAGCTGATCCGCGGCCTGGCCATGGAGGACAGCAGGAACATGTTTGCTCTGTTTGAACACAACGACACCACAGAGAAAGCCATCGAGAGCCGCATGGTGGTGGCCGACGTGCTCGCCAAGTTTGAGAAGTAAGTGTCCACAGTGTGTGTGTGTGTGTTTGTGTTTTTGTGTCTGAAGCAGGCAAATGTTTCGTGTCCTCCGGCCTTCATTAACTCACTCTCTGGTCTCCAGGCTTTCAGCCAGCGCAGACGAACACAACACCGGATGGAAGTTTTACTTCAAGCTCTACTGCTTCTTGGACACGGACAATGTTCCCAAAGACAGCGTGGAGTTCGCCTTCATGTTTGAGCAGGTAAGACAGAATTCAAAGCATTTTCAGCTCAGATCAGATTGACAGATGGTTCATTCAAAACACTCACATTGTCGAGGATCTAAAAAGATTTCAAGTACCAAAAACTGCCATTGAATGTATGATCAGGTTCATACGTTCACACACACACACACGCACACACATTGAATTTACAACACACATAATAAAAATTCAAATTCAAAGGTTTTTCCTTTTTTATTTAACTTTTATTTAACTGGGACCTTGGGATTGAAATCTCTTTTCTGAGGGAGATCTGGCCGAGACCAGTTACAATTTAAATAGAAATAATTTGTGGACCAACCGACCGACCGATAGAGAAGTTACAGCTAAAAAACAAAGCTTCCTAACTGAGGCACTTGTTCTTGAAGCTGTCTTTAATGCATTATCTCTATTTCTGCTGTCTACAGGCCCATGAAGCCGTCATCCGTGGTCAGTATCCGGCCCCTGAGGAGACTCTTCAGTTCCTGGCTGCCCTGAGACTTCAGTACCTCCTGGGCGATCACAGCTCCCAGGCCAACCTCCCTGAAATGTCCCAGGTGTTCCCCATGGGGCGATTGCGGGCCCGGGTGCAGAACTCAGCCAAGACGTTTGCTCCAGGCACTGGCTCGGTGGCTGACCGCTCTGGGACGGCTGAGAGAAAACGCTCGAGCTTCCTGGAGGGAACGCTGAGGCGGAGCTTCAGGAGTGGCTCCCTGAGTCGGCAGAAGCTGGAGGAGGAGAACAGCCTGGAGGTGTGGATGAGGGAGGAGGCGGCAGCGGTGAGAACCAGTGTGATGGACAAGTGGAAGAAACTGCAGGGGATGAACCAGGAACAGGCCATGGTCAAATATATGACTCTGGTAAAGGAGTGGAAGGGATACGGATCCACGCTGTTCAATGTCGAGGTGAGGACGGAGCAGAAATAATCCCTAGTTGGATCCCTTTCTTCGATTATTTTGTTACATTCTGTCAAATTTTATGTAATTATATATTTTAGATCTTTTTACCTCATTTATGTATATGTATTAATTTATGTAATTGTCAAACTGTAATTCTCTTGCCACTGGATGTTGCACTCAAGCACTCAGACCAAAACAATGGGCGCTGCGGCCTAAACTTGGCATTGAGAGAATAACTATCCCAATTCTTAAAATATTATGTAAACAAGTCAACTACACAAGAGAGAATCATAAGCACTTAATTTTCTTCATCAATCTAGTCAAACATCAGAGCTCTCATGCTTGTCGTTTGTTTGTCATTTAGTGTCGGGACGGCACATTCCCTTCTGAGCTGTGGTTGGGCGTGAGCCGGGAGGCCATATCGGTGTACAAACGAGGAGAGCCATGGCCTCTGGAAGTTTTCCCGTATGAACAGATTCTCTCCTTCGGAGCTCCACTGCCCAACGCCTACAAGATCGCTGTGGAAGGCCGAGAGCTGGTCTTTGAAACACAAATGGTTCGTACAGTACAATTCCTTCAAAACTGTTGGTTTCTTGATGATGGAATTCATTCATTTCACTCTGAAATTTCAATCATAAGTGCTGGTTTGACTAAACTATAAGAAATAAATCCTCACACATCTATGAAAGCATGCAGATAATCAAATGAAACACCACGAACTGTATAAACACTCCTCTTCCTCTCCTCTGCAGGTCATGGACATCGCCAAGCTCATGAAGGCCTACATCAGCATGATCGTCAAGAAGCGCTACAGCAACTGCCAGTCCGTCAGCAGCCACGGCAGCCAGTGCAGCGCCTGGTGAACTCTGCCCTTTAACCTTTGAACTTATGGCCACTTGCCGGAGTGCCACAGAAGGCTGAGAGCGGCAGCCGCTGGCCATGCATGGACGCACGTCCTCGGCAATCTGTACATTTGACATGTCAGACTGACTGAATGCTGGAGACAAACCACAATGCTCTTAATGTTAACTAGCTCAAATTATTATTTTATGACTGGTTTCATTCCAAAACATTAAACATCCACACCGGATAGATCAGAACTTCAAAGGAAATGCAGTCAGCAATCATTGCAAGCTGCAAGGACTTTCAAAAAATACTCTGCAGGTGACTGGATGAACTGTCTGTCTATTACTGTCTATCATGGGCACACTTCACCCAATCAGATCAACAAACCATAAAATGTAGTCAAACTCTTACTGAAGCCAGTCGGGGGAAGAGCGAAAACATCTTTGCCATCAAAAAAGCCTTCAGTGTCGTTCTTAGCTCTTCTTCTACGCTAACCTCTATGTGATCACCCCCATAGCTGTTAGTAGTTCCTCAAAGGACACTGATTGGTCTGGTACCACTGTACCAGCCACAAATGCATAGATTGAAGCCTGGGTAGATGGATTCTCACATGATCTCATGTCCAGCTGTCTCACAAGGTTATCTAGGAAGTGGACGAAACCAGAAAAGTTGTGCATCTCTTTGGGAAAAAGTTTCAACAATGTTCAAAATATGGTGGCCTTTGTTTCCAAAGGTTCCAATGGTTAGAAAGTTAAGGGATGACCAAACCAAATTTCTTTGGTTGCCAGCTTTTCAAATCTCCCTCCAACGAACTAACTACTTGAGTCATTTAAGTAGTACTTTGTAATTGGGCAGTGCAAACTTGGAGAGAACTGGATAAATTGACCTCAATATCCTCAATTAATTGCCCATTAGAGCCATGAAGGGCTTGAATCTAAGGTTTTATGACCAGGATGACATCTTAAAAAACCTGGGGATTGTCTAACTGCAAAAAACTACATTGACTTAAAACTGGCTCATAACAAAAGTACATGATGGAAACAACTAATCAGAACCATTGATCAACTCACAAAGTACCCAAATACAAAAGAGACCAAAGAAAACCAGCTGAAGGTTTAACACAACCTTGTTTTCTCATCAGTTCGCTCTAAAAGTGTGGATGTGTCTTGTTTTGGAATGAAACGGTTCATTTCTTTCCCGACGCTAACATGCTGTGGCACTATAAGGACGGTTGTTGCAGGATGGGGCTACTTGTTACTGAGGTTTATGTTTGTGTGCCTGTATGTGTGTTTGTCTGTGTGTGTGTGTGTGTGTACGTGTGTGTGTGTGTGTGTGTGTGTGTGTGTGTGTGTGTGTGTGTGTGTGTGTGTGTGTGTGTGTGTGTGTGTGTGTGTGTGTGAATGTGAGTTTTAAGAGAGGTGTGTCTACATGTCTGAATGTAAAAAAAAAAAGAGCAGAAAATAGAGAAAAGAAACCAGTTAAAGCCTACAAGCCTTTTCCTCTGCTTTGAAAAACTCTGGGACTTGACCTTCGATACAAACCTTCTCCAGGATGAACTGTAAATAATATGCAACTGTACTCAAGCATTTCAAGTTTGTGATTGATTGTTTGTGATTGATTTGCTGGTGATACGAAGGTCACACAAGTGCCTGTTCAATCTAAAGCAGGACGAACTCAAGTCAGACTTTGTCTTACCGATGCCACTCTTGTTCCTGTGTAACCAGAATCTGGAAGGTGCTCCCATGTTCCCTTTAACTACCAATGTACTTACACTGCAGAATCGTCCACTTATGTAAGTCATTCAAGCTAAACTCGAGTATTGAAACTATATTTTTCTTGTAAACTCTCCAGTAAATCTAATGTTATCACATTCACTCCCCAAATCTTTGTTGGAAAAACTCAGAAGAAGAAGAAGAAGACTTGCTCTCAAAGAAGATTTCAAGAGACCTTGGTGGTCTTCTTTGTGAGCAAGTGCTTCTTATTCATTTGAGTTTTTCCATCACAACTGGCGTCATGAACAGGATCCTGTAACTCCACCAGACTTTTGTTTGTCGGGATAAAAGCATTAGTTTTTAATTGCAACACCACAAACATCCCCTTCAAACTGCAGAGGCCTGAAGTCATTTATCACCAATGTACTGGGATATATACTTCAATATTTTGGCCTTCTTCATTCTAATGTTCCTGCATACTAAAAGATCAGTAATCATTCTTCTTTGTTGAGTACATTTCAACCACAGTCGTCTTTCTTAGTTTACATAATTGCTTCCCTGCACCTGCAAATGCACAAAATCCACAAAATATGACTGAATATGAATATGTCTCATCTTTTCAAACCCTCTGGATGTCACAGTCCTTGAATGACACATTACGTAACGCCCTTTTAGGTAACTCGATTGGCGATGGTTAAAACATTAGAAGTTAGCTGTGGGTTTTGATGCGATCAATCAGATTTTAGTTTGAATGACTTGCTCAGCTGGACTGCCTTCAGTGTAACATTCCTACAACATTTCACTGGAGCTCCGCGGGCGGCAGATCCATCCAAAGACGCGTGTGCAGGTTTCTTCCACGGTGCCTTGTTGTATATTGTGTACACTTATTTTGTTTTTCCATGTGTGGTTCCTTTTTTGGTATAAAGTGCAATGTTATATATATATATTATATAATCATGTGGCTGTACATTTTATACTGTAAGTGTTTGCCTTCTATTTTTTCTCCTGAATCATGACCACATGGCGATTTTCTCAAGATAAAAGTCTTTACTGTATTTTTCTCTACGCAACCATCCAGCTGACTGTGGATCTTTGACACAATACTGGTATCTGTTTTTTTAATCTGTATTAGCTGTTCTATGTATTGAAAAGATAATTTTAACAATAAATGGTTACATATTTGGTCTGAAGGTGCATTTACTGTAATGTCTATTTATTTTACACTTAACAGTAGTAGTTTTATGTTGTTTTTGTTTATTATTTGTATGACAATCAGACAACCTTTTTTAAAAACACTTTCTACTGATAATTTAAAGGTCCAGTGTGTAACATTTAGGAAGATCTATTGGTAGAAATTAAATATAATATTCATAGGTATGTCTTCATTAATGTATAATCAGCGATTCCTCTTCTACGGAGGCTGCCATGTTGAACCACCATGTTTCTACAGTAGCCCCGAAAGGACAAACCAACCTCTGGCTTTAGATAGGGGAGATTTTTGTTTCCCGGCCACAGAAGTTACTCTCAATCTGGAAAAATCTGGGGATAAAATGTGAGATTATTAATCAAACTCCACCACTAACCCACCATCAGCACAGATAAGGAAAGGTTTGTTCCCCAGAGAGTTAGATAGGACTGCGACCTCAGCATTGACGTGTGTTTGGTGTTCTGGTGATAATGTGTTGTGGTTCTGTCTCTCCTTTGCCTTTTAACCAGAGTAGTACTCTGTTTCACCATTCACTTGTCATGATTAATCTCAAAGGCCCCAGGCTTGCTGGTCATGACATTAGATCCCATCCTCAGGCAGCAAAGTTCACCGTAAGCTTCAAACAAACTAGTTCATGTTTATAACTGTTCTGAAGAACTCTGAAGGGGGGGCCTAGGGTGGCACTGACCACCTCTGAAATCTCTTTGGCAAACCAGGTCTGGAAATGCCCCTGTGAACAGCCACACTCAAAGGCGGGTTGAACAGCTTGCGATCACATCTTCCTCCTGATTGCATCCCACTGTCTTCTCAGATCTGGGAATAAAATACGACATCAGCTCAAAGGCACTAAAAGATGTGCTTGTACTACACATGAACAGCAGTTGTATAAAAAAGGAAAAGAAGAGAGCTTGAGAGAGAAGTTCAAACCCTTCCTAATGTCACCGCCATGGCAGAAAATCCACGTAAAGGTCGATTTTCTGAAATGGTCTGAGTCAGCCACCCCCGACTCTGCTGTTGGAAAGGTGGTTTCAGACACCTTTAGACAACCTGACCAGCACTTTGTTGGAAGCATACTGAGCTTACTGATGACTTAATAGAATTCTTGTCAATAAAAGACCATTAGGAACTTTTCCAGCTTCAAGAAATTACAATTTTAAACCTAAACAGCAGCAAAAAAAAAAAAAAAGCTAGCATAATTAATTGTGCATGTAAACACTGGATTTTCTTCCTCTTTCATTCCTTGGGTCTCGATGTGAAAGAGGCTGATACTGTCCCTCTGTCATGCTTTAAAGCCAATTTCAATTTGATATCAGGCAAATAACCCACACTGCTCTCTGTGTATATAAATATTCTTTATACATTACATCCATGTTACATTCAAAAGAAATAGAAATACAGCCAACAGCAAAAGTCACATTCAAGTCATTTCTGTGCTGCGCATTGGGACGTTGTCACCCAGCCTCCTAAGGCACCAAAAAAATCAAACCACCCAAATAACCTAGGCCGAGAACAGAGCCCCAAAACCCCACAACCTAAACACCACGTGGGCTCCTGGAAGCTCAACAGAATGGCATACAGACAGATCAAAACCACAATTTTCAACAGTATTTATACCGGCACAAATCATCTGAGGATCAAGTTAGAATGACTTTCAAAAACGTCCATATCTGCTGCCTGCACCGTTGTGTGAACACCTCAATATCCTTCTGACATCAGGGTTTTTTGTGCTCATTTGCAATCTGTCTTCCGTTGATCCCCGTCCGTCAAGTGGTTGCTGGAAAAGATCTGGTCCTCTAAAAGGTAAGATTTATTTGTACAAAACATGAAGCGGGTTTATCTCAAGGACACACAGTGAGAAAGATACAAAGCTCTCTGTAGCTCGGCAGTTTTAGAAAGATCCAGTTTGAAGCTATAAAAACCCTTAGCCAGTGAAGGCTACAGTACAGATATTAGCTGTATCCAATGTACTACAGTTGGCCTGGTTTTCCCTAACCAATCCATACCCACCAATGTCATGTGTATAGAAGCTGTAGTAGAGGTTGCTAGGAGCAGTTAACTTATTGTTTTCACATAGGTCAAATAAATATACCATGTGTATGCAGGGGTGTTTCCAGAGGGGGAACCTGGGGTGGCACTGACTCCATTATCCTTACTTTTTCCACTCAACAATGTCTTTGACAGGTTATAGCAGGCTTAATTTTGAAGCTAGTATCATATGAAACTAGATGACCTAATCCGTCCATCGGTACCAACCATGTCATGCCAGCTTGTTGGGAAGGAGGCTACATAATACTCCAAAGTTAGGCAAAATTTCAGTGATGGAAAAACTGGCAAGGGAAAATGTGTTCTATCGGTGCCTACGAATCTCCCCTTTGTAATCTAATCTCATGCAGTTTTGGGGCAATTGAATCTGGTATAAATATGTTATTTTCGCCTGTACTTTAATATTTGTTCAGACTGGGGTCCATAAACAGTGTTGGTATTGCATCAATTGGGAATGACAGGAAAACTGAGACACATACTTCATGTCACCGCTGCATAGATCAGTGCCCCTTTTGTGCCACCGCTGTCAAGTCTGGAAATGCCGCTGTGTGTGAGTTCAGTCTGCTCCAGTTTTATAACGGCAGACTCCTGCAGCTTCGATATGACCTTTTACCTTTTATTGTCAATGTGTGAACAGGTTGTAACACAACTTAAAAAATGAGACTATTTTAGCTGGATAACATTAGCTCGCTTGATAATGTGGACAAATTGGTAGGTAGCTATTTAACGGTGTTGATTTTAGCCAATGATTAATGATGTAACGGTACAAAGCTAAAGCTTTCTACTAGCCAAGAGCGAAACTAGGCAGGGGAATCCAACTAGTTAACTGTAGCCTAAACTAAGCTGAGGTTGGCTGGCTGTGGATTGGCTGCACGCTAGTTAGTAGAAGTGGAGTCAATGGTCCATAAGGTAACTTTCCAGCGTTCAGTCTCAAATATGTCTCTTCTGCCGATGCCCAGGATGATGATCGTTTGCACCTACAGATTGTGTTTTCGGAAAGTCACATATAGAATATTTAAGTTGAAATGTCAAAGTCCAGGTAAAACAGATTTTTGTACCATGTGTAATTACTATTACAAGCTCACTAGGCTGCTAGCATGGCTTTAGCCCTTTAGTCTATAATGTATATTTGTTACTTTATTTTACAGGCTCATAATGTTTTAATAATTTGGCGCTAATTACAAGGAAAATATAGACCAAGTTCTGTTATTAAGAATTTCCTTAAAATAACCCAAATAAAACTTTACACTCATTATTTATCTATTATTGGAAACTGGAGGTGTACCAATTGAACGTCTCCATGTTCCCAATTTACAGTTCTTCCTAGGAACCATGCTATAAATTTACACATCTCCTCCTTTCAATTATAGGAAACTATGGTACCAGAATATGTGAAGATACACACATCAGTCGTTATTTGATGTGGCTACTCTTGCAACAACCAGATTGTACATCAAATAAATGTGCTAATTTAAGAGTTATTTCTAGTCTCCACAAGTCTACTGATAACAACCAGTTCACTCATACGACTGGGAAACAGATTTTTCTGACGGCTCCCACATAACCTGCTTCAATAATGCAGGAGTGCCTGAAAAAGCACAAGCACAACTCCATCGTTCAAGGTAATTAAAGCCAAATTTAAGGGATATAGTGCCACATTGACCATGCACTGAGCCCTAAACCACCATGAAAAGTTTTCCCATCATTACCTTCTGTCCCACGTGACATGAATGCTGCACAATGATCCTGGAAAAAGGAAAGTGTGGAGGTGAGTTTGGTTCATGTCTGTCTATGCTGAGAATAATTGTATTGAGGACCGGCCCCAGAGCAGACAAACCATTCTAACTCAGCAGGAAAACAATTCGTAACAGCAAAATCAGCAAAAAAAACCAATCAGATTATGGAATACGATAAACTGCCCAGAGGAGCTCAGATTGTTTCCACCAAGTGTAAACCATCAGATGTTTTGTTCCTGCATAAATACCGCCTGGTGTTACACTGACGTTACACGAATCACGACCTCTCCTGAGTCACTGTCCTGACTGAGGTTGTTTCGGGGCAACAGGCCAGGGCAGAAAGGGGCCAAACAGAGGCAGGTCCATGGCTGCGGCCCCAGCTGAGTGGGGTGCAAGGGTCCGTTGGGCCCAAAGGTGACCAGAGGCAACCAAAGCGTCCTGGGGGACAACGAGGAATGGCCAGTGCTCGTCTCCTCCATGTCCTTCGCCTTATCGTAGCTCTGAACATCCCAGTGGAGGTTGACGGCTCGCCAGCGCATGAAGACGTTGTACACCGCCGCCCCCTCGTGGACTATCAAGCCTGGTATAGGAACAGAAGATGGACACATTAAAGGAAATGTTGATCCTCTGATGCGGTCACATTTTTAGGTCTCATCAAAAGGTAACTGTCAAAAAATCCTTTCTTTAACTTTTCTTTTGTCATCGTTTCTTTCACTTCTAAGAACATCTATAAACAGTTCCCAGATAAGACAGGTTCTATGAGTGTCTTTAGAGAAAGACTAAGCATGAACTTGACTGCTGGTTCACTGGTTCAAGGGAAACCTAAGGGGACAGTATTTGTTTGCGTCCTCCCAGGTACCGAATATTGAATTAAGAGCCTAAAATCTTTGTTTCAGATTTTGAAACTTTGAATTGAAACTTTTGCATTGATTGTTAAAACAGAGAGAAAACCTACTTTACTAGGAACAAATGGGCCACTTAAATAGGATCATTATGATTTTAAGTTTTCTTTAGCTGTGTAGCCAATTCAGCATACTTTTAATTTCGCACAATTAGCCAAAAAGTAAACAAATATGGACGAAAGAAAACAGGGCTCAAGTTGTATCCCACGGTGTTACAAACATGGTCGGATACTGACAGTCTGGCAGTCAAACAGCCTGCGATTCAGCCAATGAATGACGGTGACACATTCATGAAGGAGCTAATGTCAGTCAACTAACGCAAGCTGGGACTTCAGTGCTCGGTCTGAACTAAAGCTTTGCTCCATCTGTGCTATAGATTGCGTCTTATGTAACACAGAGATGGAAAGAAAATCATCCTTTTCTCTCTATTTCACAAACACAGCCGAGGGTTGAAAAACCTGGAGTAGATTAACAAGACCAGGTTTGCCAGCAGTTTGCTTTTTTTTTTTAACCAGAAGAGAAAGAATGTGAAGTCATCCTTTTCATACTTTAATATTTTCAGATATCTGTTCGACCTGGGACCAATTCTCTATCACATGTTTTTTTTCAATGTTATATAAACTGCTACTAGATTTCGCACTAGAGCAGTGGTTCCTAAACTTCTCTCATGAATGTAACCCCTTTGAAATATGTTTTCCCTAGGAACCCCCTGACCAGCGATAAACATTTCTGGTAAAAAAAAAACAAAACATTATTTTATTCAATGCATAACAATAACAGTAGAGAACAACTGATAAACTATACAATGGACCCAAACAGTGAACACTTTAACAGCTATGACAGCTCACAGGCTCACCTACGCAGACCAGGTCCATGAAGCCGTACATGCCGTAGCAGATCTGGAAGAGGACGTCGCGGCGCTGCCAGACGGCCTGCGGGCTGAGGGCTGACCACAGCAACCAGGAGATGCTGGCCACCAGGAAGAGAGAGCCCAGGAACACCGCGATGATCTGCACCTTCTCCACCAGGGTGATAGTGATGGACTGCCACTGCACACAGAGAACAGAGGCCGATACATAAAATGGACTGATGGCAAAATATCGGTGGTTTGTCGGTGCCTTCCAACTTCTAAAAAAACTCTGTGGGTGGACTCATCAGTCGTTTGTTTCAGGGTCACTGGATGGAGATATTTCCTCCACTGCATACATGTAAACATGACATCACTCTCCAATTAACATCCACTGCATTAATAAGTCAGTGTGTCATCACTATTTAAAGCTGGAATAGGATCTCTAGAGTAGCCTGAAAAAAAGTTAATACTATATTAATAGTAATGATAGCAATAAAATTATATATGAGCTGTACATATATATATTTACACAAGGTGGCGTTATGAATAGTATAGGTTCAGTATCCTATACATTTTAAAATATCACTGCCTTTACTTGTGAATAATTCACTGATCCATCATATCAACATGCATTAAGGACATATGCAACAGTCACCATTTAGATATACATCATACATTCCCTCAGTGTGTCCTCCATTAACTGTATGCAAGAAGTCTATGTATATATATTAAGTACAGTTAATGGTGCAATCTGTGCTATAGTACAATGAGAGGAGATGGACTTTGCTGACTCTGCTTAACTTGACAAGGACCTCTAAGTCCAGTTCTCCGATCAATATATTGGCGAGCAGTTTCTCCCAGAATCAGCGTTAACATTCTGTTGCTTGTCTGAAAGTAACTGAACTGTTTAAATCCAAGATATCTCCAGTTGGAACCGCGCAGACCGCTCAGGTTGGTGGTTGTGGATTACTGTCACAGTGTCAGGTTGTGCTGTTATTACTTTAAACAATGACTTAATTTAATGTTCTGAGTCTGTTTGTATCAGTAAGGTTTGTAATGTAATGGTTTAATAAACATAATAAATATAAAGTTATGAAGAAAAACAACAAACATTTTTAAAGAGTTTATCTTTAAAGTTGGACAGTTTTAGTTGTTTTCCCACAACTTTACCCAACAAAGAGAATAACTAATTAGACCAGGCACAAATAAGAATATAACACAATATAACTACAAATATTACACGTGTTAAAAATGAAGGTTTAAAGATAAAAACAAGATGAATCAAACTAATTAACAAATATTCGCATTAAGTTTAAAAATCGATTCAAACCGACAGGCTGGTGACGCAACGCTGAGACGTCACAGAGGAACCGAATCCACCGGTTCGAGCTGAGAGATCCGGAACACAGGAGCCACCGAGGGGAGCCAGCTGTGCTCATCTGTATCACCGGTAATAGACCCTAACGTTAGTTTGACTCAACGGAGCTGCCTCTTCATCAGTGGCCGTCATCATCATCTGAGGCTGGGATAAAGAGAGCGCGGCGCACGCACAACGCGCCATCCGCCGTCTACCATCCATCATCCATCATCCATTATCTATCATCCATCATCCATCATCCACCATCACAACCCCCATCTATCATCCATCATCCATCATCCACCATCCGCCGTCTACCATCCAAACTTCCCACAGATGGTAAAACGGACAGAGAGTGCGACCACTAACCGCTGCTGCACCGGTGAACTGCACCCTGACTAACTAACAGCTGGCTGCTTGTTCAACATCTGCACAATGATTCAAGTAGTTACATTACTTCTTTTATACAGTTAAATACTGAAACTTATGGAATACCATTTCCGCCAATGTGCCGGGAAAAAAGATATATATTATATTATATTATATTATATTATATTATATTATAATGAGAACCTCTTAAAATATCGACTTACTATATCAAAATAATGAGAAACTTTCCCAATATTTAGACTCTAAGTCATTATTTTTAGATACTAAGTCAAAGTATTGAGAAGGTTTCTTATTATTTTTTTCAGTCACATTAATAGAAACTAGAACTTGGTGCCATAAAAAGAAAGGATGGTTTTTTTAATTTGACAATTTCTTCTCTAATTTAGATTCTCAGCTCACCTGTGAAATAAAACTGTCTGTAGTTTTTAATGTTCTGAATTTGTAAAGCTGAAACTGAATACATTAGGTGTCACTTATTCATAAGTGAGTATTGATTATTGCTCTGTATTAACACATGCTCAGATAAGTTGTTGTATGATATTTCAGAGGTTATATCAGGAACACTGGAGTATTTTATGTTTTTGTAGAATCTGTGAACAAGTGGGAACTTCTTGCAATAAACTCAACTAAGTGGCGCCTTTTCTTATTTTTTTTCTTATAATTTCATATCAAATACATGTTTATTTTACAAAGTAGTTGAAACAGCTTTTTCTAAGTAGTTAACCTTTTTCCTATATTTAATGCATGAGAATAACAGTACTAATAAACTGTACAATGAACCCAAACAGTGAACCCAATAACTGCGGGAAGTTTGTATAAAATGAGATTTGGATGAATTTTGAGCAGATTATTTCCTGTGAATATTGATCAGAGATTAGTTTGTCTGATATTTTTAGTAACGTTTAATAATTATTTCTGGCTGTATTATCTTTTTTTTTAACAATCCTACTTTAACATCCTAATGTGTTTTTTTTTTTTTGACAAATTCAGTGTTTTCTTCTCATTAATATTAGCTCTCTGGTTCTTTAACTGCATACTTTTCTAATGCTGTTTATTAGAAAGTGAAGGCTCTGTGAGTATAGCTTGTGTTAAGGTCTTAGGTTTAGATCATACATAATAATCTAAACAGTTTTATTTAGAAATGAATGAAATGCTGAGGTATTAAAAAATGCTTTCTTACACCCCTTAAAATCACGAAAGGCCTCGCAACCCCCTGTGAAGCTTTGGTGACCCCTGGTGGAGGGTCGGGACCCCCAGGTTGGGAACCAGTGCTGTAGTTCAACTTCTTCCAGTGTGAAGTAGTTGGCAGCTTTCACAGTAGCTTCCCAACACCACACACACACCAAATTTGTATTTACTTTTATCTTATTGAATTTTTTTAATAGCAAGTGCAACTCAGGTAGACGTATTGTAATCATCAGTGAGGTATGAAGTATCCAGATAAAGCAACGATTTAAAGATCAGGAATAGTCGTACACTGCATTTTAATGCTATACTGTAGTCAAGTTTTACTTACTTTATATACTGTTATATGCAGTAGTTTTCAGTTTGTGATCATTTCAATTTCACATTATGTTTCATACGTAAAATTGTATAAGACTGAAGTTAATGCCATCTGTCAGTTAAAAGCAGTGGAGTGACAATCACACATTCCTGCATCCTGTGAATCTCACACACGATGAAATGTCCAAAAAGCACACGTGCCAGTTCAAATGTGACTTTATTTACATGTGAAATGGTGTTAAGCGTGTAACTAGTCCTAGTAGGGACTGTTTGATTAGGTCTCTTTATGTCTCCGTCTGCGAAGGTACTAAACCTGTGGGGCAGACTCTCCTTCAACTGCAGAAAACTGCTGAGCAGCTCCACTGGACGGATGCTAAAGGTGAGAAACACTCATCCTAAGATGTGTGTTTAAAGAGCTACCTCACACTTAAACATGTTCATTCTGAATTTATGAAGATCTGCCTTTCATGGGTTCCAAGCAGATTATTTGTATATATGTCTTAATACATGTGGAGGGGATCTTTAATGAGTCAAAAGACAAACTACTACTACTTCTCCTCTCTACTGTCCTATAGGCGGCTACCAGCCTGATTGGCGGGACCCTCCCCTGGCTGGAAAACCACTACAACCAGAACAGGACGGGTTACTGCAGGCAGCCGGAACACAAAATCATGACCAGACAGTTTCACACTACCCTGAAAGCCTGCTACAAGCACGACAAAATCTCTAAAAAGGAGATGAGGGAGGCCAAGAGGAAGTGGAAAGAGGCCATGAGGAATGTAAGAGAGGAGGACAAGAGGAGGAAAAAGCTGTGGGGAGAACAAAGTTGTGTACCAGAGCCAAATCAATAACAAGAAGACATAAGATATATGAGAGCAGAGGAGGAGAGAAGAGAAAGCACAGAATAAAAACTTGATGAACTTGGAAATTGTTGATGCTGAGAGGATGATTGTGAGGCTGCACAGCGCTCGTTTCAGAGGGAAAGACTTTAGGCGGACTGAGTGGACGAGAAAGTAGAGCTCTGCTGAGCCTGTGTGTTTGTTCAGTCTGCCAGTGACTCAAGTCCCATCTGGAGTGAACAGATCTGCAAAAGCCTGAGTGTTCTTCAGTGAGAGAAACTATCCAGAATGCAGATATTTTAAGCCTCAGGAGTCTCTGGCTGTTCAGCTTTGGAGGAAACGAGGACGGAAGGAATCATGATGCTCCAAACTGACAGCAGAGACCTGAAGAGGAAACAGAAACACTCAGGTTCACAGTCGACGCTGCGTTTGCCTCAAGCTACCAAAAACTACCATCATTATTTCTGTGTTTTCTAGAAAATAAACTCTTTATTACAATATTTTAGATGCACTGTGGCTTTTTCATGTTAGTTGAGTAGAACCGCTTCAAAGGGATTTTGTGTTACACTTCCACAAAGGGATGCACAAGAAACAGATCTTAAAAAGCGAGGGGTAGAAATATCCTGATTTGAAGCCCATAATAGCTGGAGCTTCAAAAACACTGAATGCTACACTTCCCACAATGCAACCTGATTGCATCTTTCATTAGACCCTGCCTGTTAAATGCTCACATCTTTTAAATTCAACACCACCCCTTTGTATCTCATGTTTTCTGTTAACAAGACTGCCAATTAAAGCGCAAGAAGAACAAAGCAGGTGTCATGGTGGAGGAGGATAAACACAACCCAGAGAGATATTTTGCAACCTGGCAACCCAAAAGTTTCTATTCTTAATGACTTTTTAGTTTTAGTTAATTAAGTTGTCAGGTACAATTTATAAACCCTTTATAAAGGGTGCCTTATGAGAAAGTGGTCACATTTAGAACATGCATTAACTAAGTCCTGAAACAAGCAGCAACCTCCGAGGAAGTAACAACTTTTACTTTAAAATGTCCAACTTTACAGTAGAAATAAACATGTTTACAGCCTGGTACAAAGAACAGTTTTGGCTCCTATAAATGATTTCACAGTTTGTGAAAACTGTACGGGGGTGAATTTTTATATAACTCACCTGTTTAGATGATATTAAGGCTTAAAGTTATACATAATTAAGGCTATGGCTGCTTTGAGTGACAGGTGGCTGCAGGTAGCTGTTTTCAGTACCCAGGCTTCATTCGGTCCGCCTCAGCTCCACCCACGCTCCACGTATTTGTCCATTTTTTCAGAGTGAGGACTGCCAATAATATAGTCAACTTTTTTTTGCAAACAGTTAATTATTTACACATCCAGCAGTTATGGAGAAACATGATCATCCAATTGGATTCATATTTGTGTCCACCTGATCAATGTGAGTTTCTTTTAGCTCTGTTTTTGGTCTCCACCAACTCCAGAGGGAAATATCTGGCTCTTTAAATACTCCACTATATTCACCAGCTAATCTCTGAGTTTGTCTGCCTGCTGTAGCCCAAAACGACACGTGAGAGCCGATAGTGAATCAAAATAGCAAAGTTGTGGGCAGTGAGACCAAAACAATGAGCTGAACAATGAGCCGTTATAAAGCTCCTTGGTGTTGAGGTGTAAAAGACTTAATTTGGTCCCTTGGAAACTGAAGATGAACAAAAGGAATGAGAAATGAATAATTCCAGGCTAGATATATCCTCATTTCTACATAGTTAAAAAGATTTTTATTTAGTGGGCCAAGAGTACAAAAAAAATTATGTAATTATAGAGTAGGTGTACTGCAACATTTGGATTTTGAAACTGAGTTAAAGCAATCCATTTTGCATGAAGGGCTCTGACAGACGCAGGTGGGTTTGTTCGTTGTCAGTTTGCCAGTGAAACTGCTTTTACCAGTTCAGCTCTGTGTGGCTGTTCTCCTCCACCAGAGAAGCTGTGAATATTTCTGAGCATAAATCTAACCGGAGGGTCGATGCATCAGAGATTGTAAAAACAATCTCTTGTTAATGCCTCTATAATAATTTAGAGAGCACGCTCCGTGGGAGAAAACTGTAACCTCAAAGGTTTATGGCTGTAAAAAGCAGTAAAAAATAAAGCCATAAAGAATATAATGGCTGCAGTTTGGTGTCACACTGCTTGTCAGGCATTTAAACTACAAATCTGAAAAGATCCATGCACAACGGTTTCAAGAGTTTATGGAGAGCAATACAGAAAACAGGAGGCAATCGTTGACAGTAAATAAGTAGTTGACAAAGCTTAGAGGCACCAGATCCTCAAAGTCAGCCTCTGTGTTAGGAACTCTTTCCAACTCCCTTCTCTGTGCACCTTGGATTGAAAAGAAAGTGCAAGAAACCCAACTGAAAATCATCAAAATGAACCAGACTTATTGACTGTGGAGGGATATGATTAGAAGTGAAACAGCAGGCATTGTTCAGACAAATATTACCTGGGAGTACCTTCATCAAAGACCTACCAACAGTCAACACTGACTTCTGTTTAACCATGGTCACTATCTTTCTTGAACCTTAACTGATTGGTTTTAGTTGATTCAGCTCAACCTGAATCATAGAGGTGACAGTCCAGAAAAGATACATCATCTTGTAATCATATCTTGGAATAGCCATTTGTGATAGTTTTGGTAGTCACAGACATGATAATGAAGTCCTGTTGGGGCAGCAGATCAGAAGATTGTCTTTTAGGTCATTTGACAAATGACCAGAGGTGTGGCCTCGAGGTGAGTAGGTGTGTGTTTCCACAGGTGACAGTATAACTGAGGCAACTTTAAACAGAGACAGGAACTAACCTGTGAAATTTGAGGTCAACTTTACCTGCCACGGTCTCTTCATGTTAATGGCGATGACGTGGAAGCGGTAGCAGCAGAGCTCGCAGGTCCAGCAGCCTCGCTCGCTGATCCACTTCAGCAGGCAGTGCTGGTGGGTGTAACGCACTGAGCCATCACACCGACACGGGTTCAACAGGTCCCCCTGGAGAGTGGAGAGAGGGCAAAGGTCAGATTGGAACAGAGATTAAATACTATAATAAAGCAATAAGAAAGGATTCTTTTCCCATTGTCGTGAGCATAATATATAACTCACTATGCTATTTTGTCATTTGTTGTCGAGCTGCTGAGATTTATACATTACACCTTAAAAGGCTTAACATCAAGTCAACAAGTGAAAACAGTCAATCTCCTGATCACCATCAGACGTTCTCTTGAAGGACCAAACCACTCCCCAAAGCCTGCTGAACTATTGTATCTATATTGAATCTATCAAACGAGACAAAAAAGCACAACATCCATCATCATACATGCAAGGTCCTTGGGGCTAAAGCACATCCCGGTTCATGGTGGGCAAGAGGAGGGTGCACCCTGGACTGGTGACATTAAAAACCATAAAGGACACTAACTTTAGGACAGCCATGGACTTCCATCAAAACATGGTACAGTGTGAAAAAACTCTTTGACTGATTTGACTCATCATTTTTTGGCTTCATTTGCAGCCATGGATGTTGTTGCTTGGTTCACACTGAAATATCTCAGGAGCTGTTGGATGGATTGCTATGAAACTGTGTTCAGACAATCATGTATGACTAAGAATGAATTATAACAACTGCTCAACCTCTGACTTTTCTTCTAGCATCATCATCAGGACATTCCCATCAGCCTCAGCTGCAAACATAATCATGCTAACAGGCTGAACCAATAGTAAACATGGTACACATTATACCTGTTTTACATCAGCAGGCTGGTGTACTCTTTTTATAGCCCAAAACACGTATGTCACAAATATTTACTGAAACATAAAAACTAAAGCAAACTGCTGAACTGATCTGGATGAATCAAACTCTTCGACAATCAGCACGAGCAGATTTCTGCCTATTTCATCATTGGAACAGCAGTAAAGAAGATTTCTCTCCCTGTTTCACACACATTTAACACTGTAATACCAGTGACAGACTAAACCCCAGAATCTTTTCAGGAATAAAGAGAAACTATCTGCTTTTGGGTCGATGTTAGAACCCCAGTATTAATCATAAATCCATTTTCAAGGTCTATGTGTCAACTTTCCCATCATCTAGAAATCCGTGTTTTCAAGCCTCGGTTTTGGCCTTTTCTCCCAGCCGGTCGTACATCAAAGACTCGTTCACCAGAGGGCTTCACCGGCATCGCTCAGATCAATGATCATTTCTCAAAGCTACAACACTCGCGGATATTAACGGCGAGTTGCAGTATGACATTAATCATTACAGCCGTATCTATTTGTTCGGATGTTTTTTTCCTTCCTCGAGGCATTCCTCAAGCAGCCATTACTGTAGCTTTGACCTGCCGGTTGGGCTGTGAGTGGCATATTAATAGTATATTAAGGTCAGTGGTCAGGGAGCTCGTTTTTCATCATGTCATATTAACCTTGTGGGTTTGAAAGGACCTCAGAGGCTTTTGCTTGAATGAACTGACGTGGGTCAGCTATCCATTGGAGCTGTGACTGATAAAAACCAACATCAAGGACAATTTTAATATGTTTCTGAATTCTCTAAGGGGACGTTTGATGAAAACATTCCACTTATTTTACTAGCAGGAAGACCAGTGGGGTTCTGGAGTGTACCAGAAGGTCAACAAGGATTCGAGTGAAGGGTTTTAATAGAACTATAATATATCCATCTATCTGTTTATGACAACTTACTATCTTTTTACAGTGCTCACAACCGCATCCCAGCTTAGTGGACCTTGAGTTAAGACTGTTTTGATAAAGAGATGTTATATTTGGACTCATGTTACATGGTTTTCATCAGCAGAGAGAACATGCCATGCAGCAATGGAAAACAGACAGTAGGATTATTGATTAGATACTGTGATAATTGACACGCCAATCTTCACTCAAGGTCCACTTTCATCCAGACCTCACAGTCTTCATCAGAACATACAGCTTGAAATACAGTTGCTTGGAACAAGCCAGTAAGCAGACCTTGAGTTAGGATTGTATGGTCAATTAAAAGAACTGCTGAAAGCTCTGGAAAAGTCTAGTAAATTAACCTTTAGTTTATTTAAGTGTCCTCGTCCACACTAGCAGCGGTTGTCAACTGCTGATTGAACAAAGTATTGAGCATGAAATTGAAACAAACAGACGAAAAAAATCCTAAGGTAGTTTATACAGTTTGATCACAACTAAGCAAATCTGCTGTGATTGAAAGCTGCAGACAAAGTGTGTAAGTGGGCCTTGAGTTAATAATGAACTACCATAATTGTTTAGATTTGTGTCTGGTTTTGTGAATCCAGCAGCGGTTTGTGAAAGGAAATGTGCCTTCTGGTGTTAAATAACATCTCATTCTGACTCTATCTGCCCAGACGTGAATATTTTAAGTGTCAAATTTCTGTTTTGCAATCTTCTTGATAACTGGTGAGCTTTTCCCTGCCTGCGGCCTTGTATCAAAATCAAATATCAGTCTGGACCCGGAGGCAGAGCTATTAGATTAGCCCTGCTAATAGGCTATAGCCCACGTTCAGAAGACAGGATATTCACTTAGGCATTTACTGCCCTGACTCCTCTCTTTCCCTTAAGCTCTGGCGAGGATGAATCGTCCCTCATCGAGCCTCGCTGTCACGATCCAAACGGGCCTGCAGAGTGTCAGATTTCAGAGACTGGCGGACAGAGTGTCCATTTGTCCCTGCAGGTCCACATCTGTCCATCCACCTCCAGGAAGACGTGTAGACACTTAGACTGATTCATCGCTTGGTGATTACGTTTATTATACATAAATTATGATTCAGTCATCCACTTCTGATATGATGGATGTGGCTGTGTATTGATTGTACAGCTGACAACTGAAGGGAAAACATGGATCTACAAAGGAATAAAAATCACTAGTTATGATAATATAATGTGTTTTGTCTCCATTATTCTGGTTTTCAGTCAGTTTCAGAGGTCTATTTTCCTGTTTATTGTATTTTAATGCATTTATTCACATTATATAGGAGCCCTTTTGCCATTGTGCTTGAAATTAACTTGCGTTGCCATATAACAAAGATTTTAGTGCACAAAAGTGACAATTTTCAAGTATCAGCTAAATAATATGAAAAGTAAAGAGGAAGTGGGAAGAAAATGTTCACCCTCTAAAGGGAAGTGCAACCTAATTTCATTCATGCATTAAGTTTAATGGTATCAATCTGTTCTGTCACATCAGCTGTCAGTCCTTACGAAGCAGTGCAGTAGTGTCGGTCTCATCGCTTTAACACAATCGTCCCTGGATTACGTTCTGCTCATGAGTCTGAGCTCCTGTAAATGAAACGTAGAGAAACACTGCTCAAAATGTGTAGTTTTGCTAAAAATGTGGTGAATTGTGTTAATTCATGATTTAATTGCAGTTATTTCCACAGTCGTTCAAGATTACATTACATTTGTTTCTGCTGGAGTGCATGAAGCTTAACAGGCTGAAGTGTGTTGACTATACCAAACAGTCTTAATTTACTGAGAACACACAACAAATCAAAGACAGTAACAAATCTAAGCATTAGGCAAACTAGTGAAGTTTTTCATATCTTTTATCTGACTGTTTATGAAGTTTATAGTCTATATTCTTTCCTCTTTTGTTTCACTCACTGTTGCTGTGGACATTTTAAATGCAGATCTCGTTCATGAAAAGGGTGGGAAGCAGTTATATTTTATGTCTCATGTTATGTCTTTCATTTAATGTTCCAGCCAGATCACTGAGGTCCTTTCTGTTAAATGTTCCTTTTATGTCCAATAAGCCTACCAGTGAGAGTGCTTGTGTGCTCCTGAACTGTGGAACTCACTGCCTCTGGACATTAGAAAGGTCTCTCTCTCTCTCTCTCTCTCTCTCTCTCTCTCTCTATATATATATATATATATATTTAAAGAAAATAAAAATAAAATATATTAAGCCGTAGTTTTGTAATCATTGGTTTTTACATTTTTTTCCTCCTGGGTGTTTTTTCTATTGGCTTTTATTTATTGATGTTTTACATTGTATTGTTTTTATTGTATTTATTATTAGCCTTGATAGATGTTATTTATTGTCCATTTTTGTTTTTGTCAGTATGGAAGCCCATTTCCACCAATGTGACGAGGGAAAAAAGGATTCTGTAAGTCATTATAATGAGAAACTTTCTCACAATAATTAGACTGAATGATGGATTTGTGATACTCAATCATTACTTTGAGAAGGTTTATCATTAAAATGACTTTTAGAATGTTGTTTTGTTCCGTCACATTGTCAGAAATGGGCTTCCATATGTCTGTGTGGTTTAAACGTGGCTGTGTGAACAGTTCGATATAATAAAGCTGAGTCGAGCTGTAGTGAGTGCAGCCTCTGTAGCGCTGTCCTTGGTGCTGAAGCTGTGGGCGGTTGTGCAACTATGATTGTATTTGGAAAACTCATGGAAAACTTTTGATTTGATTTTATTAATATTATTACCCAAAGTCAGTGCTTACAAAAGTGAGGTTTGGGGCTCTCTGGAGATCAGTGAGAGGTTAAAAGTGTCCATCAGCTAAATGGAATAAGATGGGATCAATTCCATGTTAGCTGCACCAAAAGTGTAAGAACAGTTGATACAGTCGCCTGTTGTTGCCAATGTTTGTATGAGTACATTCTTAGTTACAGCCTGTAAGGAAGGTTTTACAAGCTGGTAGCACTTCATTAAAGAGTTAATTAGGTAACAATAGATGGATGACTCACATCCATATCTTCTTGTTCCTACAGCGAGATGTTTGAGTGACGTCTGTGCAGAGGTCGACACTAGAAGGATGTTTTCACAATTATCTGCTGAAAGTGGAAGGTTTCTCTGAGCTCACTGAACATCTGATTTTAAGGGGTGGGGCCTACAAGCATGATTTTTGACATCACAAATAGTACAGGAAGTCAACCCTGGTGCAGTATGTAACTTCTACAGTGTGATACACCAGTGCACACACACTGAGAATGGACTTTACAGAGAAGGAGGAGACATCTTGTGTCCAGCAGTAAAACTTACAATGAACATACATTCTGTCATTTTTAATTGATTAGTTGATTGGTTGATGGTCAAAAATGCTGATCACTGTTTCCCAAAGCCCAAGGTGAAATCCATAAATGCCTTGTATCGTCCACAACCCAAAGATACTCAGTTTACTGTCATAGAGGACTAAAGAAAGCAGAAAGGGTCACATCTGAGAGGCTGAAATCAAAGAATTGAGACAATTTTTCTTTTAAAAAAAAGACTCAAAATGATGAATCAGTTATTAAAATAGTTGGCGATTAATTGAATAGCTGACAACTAATCCATAAATCGTTGCAGCTCTACTTTAGTTTAAAACAATGTTTTATGATTTAGAAAACAACCTAAAGTAAGCAGCAGCTGTCAGATAAATGTCCCTGCGTTAAGAGCAATATTTCTCTCTGAAAGGTGGCCGAGTACAGTAACTCAGCTGTTGTGTAAAATGTTGATTCTCCTCATTATGCTGGGGCCTTCTGAGGGGCCCTCAGGGACCCCTGAAGGTCCCCAGAGCTCACTCCTGGAAGTGCTGATGTGAGCGCTGTCCGTGGTGCTGAAGTCATTGCAGCAGTTAGAATGGAACTTCTGTCCAATCACAGAGGGTTTTACTCTCATTAGCTCCATTTATTCTGGTTCTGACTGGGTTCCGTCCAGCTGAGCTTCAAGGATGTGAGCTGAGCCTCTACTCAGCTGGGTTTACCTCGTTTTAATTAGATGAGTTGCTGCTGTCAGCCAATTAGTGTACAGCATACTGGGAGGACTGCACCCTCACCTTCATCCCATTTACATCAACTTTCATCATTCACAAAACCAGGACTTGTAATCTGATTACAATGGAGAGAGAGAGAGAGAGAGAGAGAGAGAGAGAGGAGAGAGACACACACACACACACACACACACACACACACACTGATATCAGATCTGTTTCACCTCCATGTCCGCGGTGCATTTACCTGTTCTGCGCCCTGGAAGCAGATCCTGCAGCTGGGGGTGGGGATGCAGTTCTCGCTGCTGCAGTTTGAATGCATCGCCTGCGCTTTGCACGAGCTGCCCCCGACAGCCCCCTCCTCGCTGGAAAAATTCCCCGCGTTGTCCCCCTCACACGCATCCCCGCGGCTCCGGCCCTCCCGGCTGCCCTCTCCCTCCTCTCCCTCCTCTTCCTCCTCTCCCGGCTCTGCCTCGTCCTCATCGTCGGGGCGCGGACGTCCTTGGGAGCCGAGCGGCTCGCCTTCCTCCCAGGTGTGGCGGTGGGTGACGGTAGAGCCTCCCCTCGCCTCCCCGCAAGCTGAACCCGCCTCTCCCTCCTCTGTGCTCATAATAAAATGAAAAGTGGAGACTAAATTGCATAGATGCCCCCCCGGCGGCTCGCAGGTATCCACCCCCCCTGCGACGCAGCCCTGATGCAGCCTTTAGGCTCCCAGATCACGGCGCTGTCGGAGGATGTGCCTCCGCTCCGTGGATACCGAACCGAGCCGTGCTCCTGTAGCCGAACCTATGGTGTGGCTGCTCCGTAGAGCTGCGGCTCAGCGGCCGGATCCCCCCGGTGCAGCGGCCCGTTGGTCGGCTGGAACCGCCTCATGCGCTCCGGAGACCTGGGGAGCATTTCCAAGCAGCCTCCATGCATCGCAACGGGACTCAGCCGTCCCGAAGCGCCGGATTCCCCCCTCTTCCTTTTCCTCTTCCCTTCCTCCTCCTCCTCCTCCTCCGCCTCTTTAGTCCCCGCCGAGGAAGCTGGGAGCGACACAGCCGCGGTGGGGCAAGGAAGACCGTCCTCCAAACGGGGAAAACCCGGGTTGAACCCCCCACCCCCCCCTCCTTGATGTGGTCGGGTATTCACCCTGCTGACGGGCTCTTGAGCAACAATCCTCCCCGAGTCAGCTGCAGGTTGTGTGAAGAGTGTTGCACTCTCAGGAAGCAGAGAGGACTGTTCCCCCGGGGGGAGAGGAGCAATCAATCACATTATTATCCCATTAATATGATGGAGGAGAGAAGTTTGTGCTCCTGCAGCCGGCTGGAGGACAGAGGATGAGCTGCATCATATTCACAGCAGCAGTCACACAGAATACTTTATGTGGTGGGATGTGGCGACCCGCAGCACCCTCCCCGCGTTAAAGGGGTCACCTGCTGGGTTACAAATGCCATCATTATCAAGGGTGGTGGCTTAAAACCTCCCTGAATGTTAAAGAGGCACCTCGGCCTGTAAATGATGGAGCTATTAACTCTCAGAGGCGGCTTATGCCTGTGGTTGTCTGGGGGTGGTTGATGCAGAGTTTAGGGGGTCCGCTATGGGGGTCTATAACAGAATATAGTTTGACACATTAATTAAATACACACTGTATACCAGCTCTCCTAGTGTCTTCTTCTTGCTGAGGGATCATAGGGGTCCTGGATCAGAGGGGGTCACAGTGGTTTTTAAGGGTTCTTGCTACTTAAAGAGACTCCTGATGGTGTTCCAGGGAGTCTTTGATGGGGGTATATGGGTAATGAAGGGGGTTCCAGGGGTCCCTGAACTGGCCACAGGGTTTCTGAATGTCTATAACAGGACTCCCTGCCAGACAGAGAAGCTAGGTTTTTACTCTGTGTCCTCCCACTACCCACTAACGGAGGCTGGCACTTATATAACAGCAGCTGGTTAAAAAGAGAATCCTTTAAAAGCTGATGAACATTTGCTCTTCTGGAGAGCCTAAAATGTGTATTTCATAATTGAATATACAGCCTATAACTTCTATATTGATTGATGATGTAAATATAATTTAACATTTTCAGTTGCAACTATTTCATTCTCAAGCACCCAAATAATGAAAAATCAGGTTTTCAGCTTTAAGTTAAAAAAGATACAGAATGTTCTGTTTTTAAAACTCAAAGGTTTAAGTTATTTTAAACAAGAAAAGTAAATCAACAATTCAAATTCAACAAAAGATTAGAGATAAGTAAAGCTTTTAAAATTTTATTTCATGACTTAAAAAAAGTGAAGAAGTGGCTTAAATCAGTGGCTTTGAGGGTCAAACTAATATTTTCATCGTCAATTAATCTAATGATTGTTTCTTCTGATTTAAAATGTAAAAAAAATGACAAATTTGCTTATTTTGTCCAACCAAAAGGTAAGAAACTGTAACCAAATATTTATTATTTTTACATATTATTCAATGAATCATTTCAGTCAGTGAGTTAAGTCAAACTGTGGTACTGTACAACTCAGCGACCGATCAAATCTTCCAATATGGGCCACAGACACTAAATGACACAATGTGCTGAAGCTGCCAACCATTCACGTCAGATCTGTCAAATTTGAGATTAGTTTTAAAGATAAATAAGTGTTATTAATTCAATGATCTGTTATGGCAAAATTTTGGACTAAGTGATCCCACCTTTAGATATTTCTATTCAGTGCTTTACTAATGTGCCACAATAATGTTCTAATGTTCAAATATCTTCATTTGGGGGCTTTTAAAAACAAATATTGATATATGTGATTGTTTGCGGTTAAAACGGTGGGAAGGGACTTCCTAAATGGGTCAGTAACAACACAAATGATACATCAAGCTCATTATTCTTTAACGCATTTACAATCCTGATCCGAGCCAGAGTGCCTGTATCTGAGCACACAGTTAGTATTTTATATGTTCCCACCTTTCTGCAGAAATACAGAGCCGTGCTACTTAACGTTATCCGCATGGATACCAGATAGTAAGAGGAATCAGGAGAATGTAAGAGAAGGGATCTTATAATGGGAAGGTTGCCAGTTTAAATCCCTCGACTGTGTGAATGAGTAATGATTTTCCCAGCATAACAAACCCCGCTGCAGTTCCTTGAGAAGGGCGTTCAACCCTCAAATAGTGCAGATCTGCGTCGACTGTAAGTCTCAGTATGGAATGTGTTGATAGGTGCAAATGAAGGACAGTGCTGCTGCAGCAATGCATTATAACTGGATAAAATGCAGACTGAGCCTGATTTTAAATCTAAAAAAGTATTTTTATTAAAGTTGGTTCACTGTAAATCCGGACGGCATATCAAAAGAAGTAAGATAACATAACTCAATCCTCCAAAGTTTGAGTCATTCACATTAAATAAAGCCAACTCAAACATGAATTGTTAAAGTAATAACTTAATAAATCTGTGCTGTATTTTAAGTATTGCTGATTTAACTCTAGTTTGTTCCGCTGACTCATTTTCTTTAGGTTGACTTTATGTTAACTGGCAACCATTGATATCGGATTAATTGTTTCGACAGGTAAATGTAATCATTTGCTTTACTGGAAGAAAACTGTGGTAACATTTGTAGAAAGAAGATGCATTTAAGTTACTTTATTCAGATAAATTCTGTGAACACATTTTAAATAAGTTTGGATAAATTAGTGTAATATACTCACTAGTTTTAAGCACAATTAACTAAATTTACCTTTTACAATAAAGTAGTTTCTTGTACTCAAATCAATTTATCAATGTTGGAGTTAATAGATTTAAGGCGATCGGTTTCACCTTCAGCTAACACTTTACTTTAATCTATTTAACATTTATAAGCCGTATACGAACATTCAATAAATGGTTTATATCATGCTATAATGTAGTTTTAAGCAGCTGTAAGTGTTTATTAATATACAGTATTTTGCCAAAAATTTATACATCATTAATAAACGCTTATATCTGCATTATAGTGTATTATAAACCATTTATTAAATGCTTATAAATGCTAAATACTTCAGATAACGTGTCACCCACCCTTAAAACTGTCTACTATGGCTAAAGGAAACAAAATGCCTAAATTATTGCCCTGACCTCCTTTGCAGTTGCAGTCTCTCATTATCAGCCTCCATATGGACCTGATAATAAAGTACGAGGAGCCTCGAGCCGACGAATCATTTGTCGGAGGAGACTGCTTTTCCAAGAAGAATCTACCCCCCCCTTTTTTTTTTTTTTTTTGAGGATGTCTATCGCTTTCCGGGGAGCGGGGCCAGTAATGGACTCTAATGCAGCAAAGGAAATTATCCACTCATGTCCAATCACTACCTACGAGGCACCGATCAATACCAGGTCCCCAGGGCTCGGAGGGAGACCGGGATCGTGCTGAGAGCAGGGAGGGCCGGGTGAACTGCTTCTACACACGTTTGGTTTAGGAGAGGTGGGGGACTGAGATGGACCGTCTCTGAATTTACTTTTGGATTAAACCTCCTGTCTGATAGCGTGGCGCCCATCCATCTAATACATATTTTAAAGACGCCTATGATGGGAATTCAGGTTGGACTCTTGTTACAGAGACAGGACATGCTTTATAAAATCAATTATGGTCAATGAAACCAAATTTGATTTGTCAGAAGAACAATTTTGGCAAGTCACCCTTTACATGCTTTATTAATGGTTAACAAGTCATTGGCTGATGCTTTGTGCTTCAGTTTGAAGCCATTAATAAAAACATCTTGGTGTTGCCAGAATCCCTTTTTGTTAACAAGTCTGCCGTTATAAATGATCATAAATCCGTAACGCAGTCTGCAACGATTAGTTGATAAATCAATCAAGCAAGTATTCCGATAAACTATTTTTTTTTAAATCAAGGAAAACTTCCAGATTCTCAGATGTCAGTATTTGATGTTTCTCTTTGTTATTTATGAGAGTAAACGGAATATATTCTGGTGGTTCAATAAGCAATCTGAATACTCTACCTCAGGCAGCTTAGTTTAGCATGCTAACATTTGCTACTGGGCACCATTGACTGTATATATATTGATGGACAACATGACAGCTCCCCAATAGTGAAGCCAAAACATCGCCTCCTAGTGGCTGGCTGCAGTATAGCTCATAAACCCCGCCCCCATCCATGTTAGCAGACGGTTTCTGTCTCTTTAGGTTAGTTTTAGATTCTTTTTACACGCATCAATAGGTACCAACCATGTCGGGAAAGAGGCTAAATAACGCTCCAAAGTTAGGCTACAATGAAAATGGGTTCAACGGGTACCCACGAGTCTCCCTTTGACACTTTATGCTAATCCCGAGCAGGTTTTTGCATGTGGTATTAAAAGTGTTACTTTCACCTAGTTTACTTTAATATTTCTGCAGACTGGGGTCCATAAACACTGTTGGAATTACATAAATTGGGAATGACTGGAAAGCTGAGATAGGTTTAGATATTTCAGTTTGGGCCAAAGTGGTGGACCAACAGATTGCCATTCTCGAGCCAAGCGGCGCTTACGTGGCTAAAAATAACGGTTTTGGACCAACTCCAGGAAAAAGAGAAGGAAGCCAATCAGGAAAAGTGCAGCTGTGATCCAAATACTCAAATCGGTCCAATCAAGCCAGTTTCCATCCACTGAAACTAAAAAACTGTTCATTTGAATTTCTGCCAAGAACTTTTTCCCAGCAGCCTTTAAATGAAACAGTAGGGTAAACACAGATAGGTTCTGTTCCATTTAGTGGAGCAGAACATTTCCAGTGAACCAACATGCACGAAAGCAGCAAAATTTGTACTCTTGGTAACACCAATGTTTACCCTACTATTTCATGTCAAAATGGCTGCTGTGAAAAAGGCATTACTACAGTTTTATCTAATTCAACTTTAAACTAAATCTATCTGTAAAAACCGCACGAGGAAAACAAACCGGATTAGATGTGAAGGCCGAAATATAAAATCTGAATGTGTCCAAAATCGGCCTTCAGAAGCACACATCGGTCAAACCATCGTTCTGGTTAAAAGAATCACCTCCTCCCCTGCCTTCCACAGTGCTAATGCCTCTCAGCCATCTGCCCTGTTTCTCTCCCAAGTCGTCCTGATCAATTAGCCTCCTTCTCGCCGTCGGCCTGTCTGCCCCCCCTCCCCCTCCCTGTTTTTCCTGTAGACTCTAGTCAAACAGTGGCGTAGTGTACGGGCAGAGTGCCCTAAACCCCTGAAACCATCGCGCCGCAAACACTCTCCCAGCCTGCGAAAGGAAGTGGAGAGCCTGCCAAAGATAAAGTGGAGGACCACAAACAAATGGAGTAACTGAGCTCATTAAAGGGGCGGTGTGGTGGGTCAGCATCCTGCTCGGGCCCGATCAGCTTTCGATGACATCATCTGCACGAGGCTCAGAGAGTCATCGATAAATCTGACGTACCTGAAGAGATCTACAGTGATGAAGATGAGACCATATCATTCTATTAGTCAAACACCACAGAGGTAAAATCCTTTTTTAATGTTTGCTTAGTAAAGGTGAACAAATATTACCTGTAAAAAGTGCTCACTGTGAGGAAGAGTTGGGGGTACTTTAGCTGTTTCTGTGCTTTATGCTCTCTCTTATAAACCTTCAGTACATCCAGTATCCTATTAACATACTGCTGTAAATCACATGTGACCGTTTTAGGTCTTCAACACAAATGGTCCTTTGATCTGACCCTGTGACTGAGACCAGATCCTTATCAGACATCCCCCTACCATAAAACCACTAACCCCCTAAACAAACTGTCTACATTTACTACCCCATCTAAAACTTTTCTCTCCCACACGAGGAAGGAGAAAAGGGAGGAAGAAGGGAGAAAAAAGATGGCAGGAAAGAAGAGCAGAAGATACAAACCATGTCCTCAATGAATTGTGAAAAAATTGTTATTTAACAATTTGTAACAACAAATTTGGGACAAATCTGCCCCTCAAAGTAGGAAGTAGAGGTTCTTGTTTTTTCCAAAACCAGTCGTTTTACCTGAAGTAACATCGTAACTTCATTCAAAGTGGACAGACACAGAATAAAACTCATTAAAATTATTTCCAAAACCAACGGTTGAAAAAAATGGAAAACAGCAGTCAGTGACAGACCGGCTATGGAAACAAACCACAGAGAGGCTGCGATACAACACAGGCAGAGGGAGAGAGACACCATGTGACTCTGTAGCTTTATATAGAGTCATACAGGCAGGATTTTACTCCGGAAGATGATCACTGCAAGACAAACAGCAGGAATTCAGTTCATGTTACATTAGTGCTCGCTGCATGAAAAAAGTTTTATTGTTGGAGCCCCCTGCTGGGGGCATTAATGTTGCAGCCTTAAATGCCTGATTTGTCGGCAGCTTTTCCAAAGAACTTGGACACAGGGTATGGTTGGTGAAGCTCGTTGGAAACAACGATTGGTCAAATTTGCAGAACAGTTGTAGTGATTGGATATAAAATTTCAAGGTTGTGCAGAATTCACCAGGAAATGGTTGAATTTGTGTTAATTGTGGCAATCGCAGCTTCCCGGAGAGACTGACTCACTCAGTCTAAACGAATGACAGAGCTGCATTATCTCACTGCTCACAGCACAGCTAGTGTGGTTACAACCTTTTAGTCGTGTTAACCATTGAATCCTGCTGATGTTTTAATCACAACAATGACAAAAAATAAGACAGCTAAAATAGGGCTGCACCATTACGGCCAAAATTACCATCCCAATTATTTGAATCAATATTGAACAGCAGCTAAATGAGCTGTTGTTTTCATAAAGAAGTCAGGCTATAATTGTTGGTTGTTGGCAATAATAACGTCCATCATCCTGCACAGTGTGAGTCTGAGCAGCGACAGTGGAAGTGGCTGAGAGGATGGAGGTGTGCAGCGTGTCGCCTGCCTCCTCTGACAGCTCAGTGCTCTGTTGTTCCATCACTCCCTGACACATTGACAACTGAGCCAATGTCAAACTAATGGCCGTTGTCTTGTTTTGTAGATGCACTTTAGTTGAACAGTGGCCAGTGTCGAGCAAACACTCTGCACTTCCTGTGACTAGCTCACTTCAAAATAAATGTCAACTCATGCTTAGCCAGTTAAATGCTTTTACTTTGAAACTGCAGCAGAAGGAAATTGTCAGCAGTAACTTATTACAGCTGCAGGGTGTGTGTGCAGCCATATGACAGCTCCCTGAAAGTGAAACCAGAACATCTGGATCACCCGCGGTGGCTGGCTGTTTTGAGATGCAGCAGTTTTCTACGAGCCTGGCACTTTTTAAACGTCAGTATCGCAGATGATCATTAAATCTTGGCGAGCTAAAATCGTGATTAATATTCGACTAATTAACATAAACTCAGTGTCCATAACAGAGACACTCCCACTGAAAACAAAGGGATTGAGTTAAGGAAGGAAGACTGCCATGTATCCAATAAATATGAAACACATTTATTTGTTTGGATGTAGTATGAGCACATTAAATCATAAAGATGTAATCCTGTCATTAGTTAACAAGTACTGTAATGTAACTGATTCCAAAACAGTCAAACCAACTCCTTAATATCAATCTACTGTAGCTTTTACTTGATCCATATAGTTTTAAAATAATTCTGGAAGTATGATTCATGCTCTTGATCTCCACCTAGGTGAAGGTGATGCGACACCAGAACATCCAACCTGGAGTCCTATCGGGGGGGGGGTCAGTTTCAAGCAGAGTTACAGAGGACAAACACGTTCCACACAGAGACGTCTGAATTTGATTTCCTACTAGGAAAAAAATAGATTTTTATCTGCTGTTAACAAACTTCAAACCAACATGGCTGCACTGATATGACGTGGTCGGCGTGTTGGATGTTTCTTCCCGCCACTGAGCGAGGAGCTGCACTTAATTCTGAGCTTAAAAGTCTTATTGACTGGAAACTTTTCCACCAGTCCGCGTCACATTCCACGTTCGATTCCCCTCTCGGTGGTCCCCGGGTTTAGAACATGACCTGGGCTCTGAAGTGTTTCTGCCTGGTGGTGTTGTGGCTCATGCCCATCTTCAGCATCCACTTCGACTTCATCATCTGTACGTACTGCATGTCTCTCGGTTTCTGAAAGAAGCCGTGGCCTGAGGAGTGGGAGAGAGTGGGAGAGAGCGGGAGAGAGCGGGAGAGGAGGGAGAGAGTGGGAGAGAGTGGGAGAGAGCGGGAGAGAGCGAGAGAGAGCGGGAGAGAGCGAGAGAGGAGGGACAGTGTGTGCAGGGTCATTAAGTGGTTCAGGAGCAGGTTTCTTTTACAGTTATTATGGGAGTAATGACGAGCAAACACACAAACACTCACATACACCAACAATCCCTCCCCCGAATAAGTGTGTGTGTGTGTGTGTGTGTAATGAATCCTGCTTCAGATAGAGACATTGTGTTTGTGCTGTTCAAAAGGTTTTTAAAACTGAAAAGATAAATGTTGGATGGTGACAAAGCTTAATAAATGAGGAACATTTTAAAGGAATTTGGGTTTGAATGTGAATGGGACTGGTGCACACCCTCATTCAGCTCTCTTTCCTGTTTCTCCCTTTAAACTGTTAAATATCAAACAAATGATCCCAATAAAACCATTCTGATGTCGTCTGAAGGTCCCAGTATCTCACCTCCGTCTCCCCCCCAGCCCAGAGCTCTGTACTGCCGCAGGACTCTGCCAACGGCGTTCCGATTGTGGGTCAGCGCCACCGCTCTCTGAGTGCCGAACCGCTGTTTGTAGTACCTCATGAGGGAGCGGTGGCCGATCTTGGCACCTGAACAAACACAAAGACGTTCATTCAGTGTGAGTGGAGTGAAGTGTGAATAATAAAACCAGTGAGAGCGCAGATCCAACAGAAACAGCAAACAATTCAAACGTGGATCCACCACCAATTTCATTTTAAACAGACATTTTTTACTTTTCATTTGTAAGACTGTATGAATGAATATGGATGATGTTTGATATTTTAAAAGTGGAAGCGCCATCAACAAGCCTGGATGGTGTGTTTGAGATTCGTTCTACGCTCACATGGAGGCAACACAGGGTGAGAAACTGATATACAAATCATTTCAGCTGCACTCTCAATGCTGTAAGGCAGAAATAAAAAAGGCTTATTTGTGCCATTTTAATTCTGTGAATGATTTTTCTTTACACCCACACACTGTACACATTGTACACACTGTACACACTGTACACAGGAGCCCTGCTCTCTGCACTCAGTTAGGTTCCTCTACTGACTGATTATAAACACTCAGTTTAAAGTGGCGTCACCTGAAGGGAGAGTCAGCTCCAGCGTGTCGTCGTCGTACTCCAGGGTCTTGTCATCGGGCAGCTCCTCTTCGTCCATTTCAGCATCCTCTCCCTCCTTCCTGTCTGGGTAGCTGCTCCTGTTGGCAAAAAAACAACCGAACGTGTGACTCAGAAGGAGGAAGACGAAGACCAAACGCCTTCCTGCTGCCTTTAGGTGCTCTGATATCTGTGGGAGGTTTCATCCATCACAACGGGCCGGTAAACGGGTAAAAGGATCGCAGGTTAAACATAAACGGTACCTGAAGTCGTAGAAGTCTGCGAACTCCAGGGCCGCGTCGCCGTCTGTGAAGAGTTTACAGTGGCTCTTGTCCGTCATGTGACTCTGTACCGCCTCTGCCGAGTAGAACGAGCGGCCCTTCTCGTTACACCACAAACACACGTTCCCAGCACCCACTTTCTCCCCTGCAGCACAACAGAAGATCAATATAAGATCGGACTGGGAAGAACATCGTATAACAACAGCACCGAGGAGCTCGCACTGAATATCAGCGGGAAAACATATCACACGCAGCAAAGGGCCAACGGTCGGACTCGAACCCACAGCCACTGCAGAAAGGACTCATGCTACTGGTTCTTTCCAGCCTGGTCTACACTCAGGCAGTTAATCAGTATGGTGGAGCGCCCTCTGCTGGATCACAGATGTCTGCTGCACTTACAGACTGTACATTCTGACTTTGAACACGGTCGAACCAATGTTCAAACTCTGAATAAAAGTAATCACAGTATGTAAATCACAGACACTGTCATTTAAAAGAACAGCATTATAATGAGGTAGTGGAGAGCTGCAGGGGTTAACTGGATTACAAATCTCCAGATGTAAGAAAACATTTCGTTTTTTGATGAAAATTAAATTCTGGGTTATTTTTTATGATGTTTTTATTGTAGTCATTTTTTTTTAGCCGTGCACAGTTTGCTATGTGAAGCACGTTGGGCTGAAAGGTGCTGTAGAAATAAAGTTGAGTTGAATCAACATGTGAGTTAGTATGGGACTGTGAATGGGCGGACTCTGGGAGAGGACTCGGACCCGGATCAGAGTAGAAACCTGCCTCATTGTAACACTGAACTCTCAGTGACTCCTGCTGATCTCTGATCAGATGTGACTGAACCTGTGGGTAGGAATCAAACACATTAGAGCCCGGACCCTCACCGAGGTAGCGGACGAAGCCCTTGAGGTCGACGAGGAACTCCACGTCGGGGATGAAGAAGCCGTGGACTTTGGTCATGTGGGCGACGTTCTTCATGAGGGATTTGGAGTGGTGGGGGCAGAACAGGCAGTCGGTGACGGGGATGGAGCCCGGCAGAGCGGCGGGCTGGGGGTCGGACGGAGCCGCGGGGTCTCCTTCCTCGTGATCCATCGTCTCCTCTTCATCCTCTTCCTCCTCCTCCTCCTCCTCCATCTCATCGTCCTCTTCCTCCTCGTCGACGTCCTCCCACTCCTCTGGAAAATTTTTATTAGAACATGGCGTCACTTTTTAACACAGACAGCTAACGAAGGTCTTCATTTACTCTGATTACTCTTTAAGTGTCGGTGCCTTTAAAACAAACTCATCACACTGAAAGACGGCAGTTATTGACGAGCTGAGAAATAATACAACAGAGGAAAGAACTTCTGCAACAATTCACTGCTTTTAACTAATATTCCAGGATCTTTCCAGGAGGTTTTTTTGACAATCCAGATCAGCATTTGCTTACAAACGGTCCTAAAAGCTGCGGTTTCGGGGCAATTGGCTGCTTTAATTTGGCCTCAGCCCGTAAGTAAGAGTTCAAATCAAGTAGAATTGATTCAAATTAACTGTGCAGAAAGAGTTCATTGTGCGTACAATTAACAACCACCGTGTACGTATCTATACTGCAGCAGTGAGTCATCGGTGCCGTACGCAGATACGAGAATATTGCTCGCAGCTCTGGAAGAAAATAGATTTGATGCCAAAAAGACAGTTTACCCAACCAACATCAAACTAAATACAAACTGTAGTTTACGAAGGCGATCTGAGTGAGGGGCTTAACTACAAAACTCCCAGTATGACAACACATGGTTATTTCCAGGATATTTGGTCATTTTAATCAATTTCCAGATGTTTCCATGACTGGAAAACTAAATTTCCAGGTTGTCCAGGTCATGAGGGAACCCTGTCAATAAATCCCATTAAAAACACCACAACCAACAGTGGATGTACGGACTAACACTAACACTGTGTGTGTATAGTCTCATCTGAAAACCACATCATTTTAACGATTTCTAAGATCTAAACTTTTGACGAGCTGAGCACGAGCTCTCTCTCTCTCTCTCTCTCTCTCTCTCTCTCTCTCTCTCTCTCTCTCTCTCTCTCTCTCTCTCTCTCATTACCAGCCTCCATCTTCATCAGAAGAGTGCGCAGTTACAACAACCGAAGAGCCGATAGAACAACGGTCAAGCGTCAATAAAGAAGCCTATTAAGAATGACTGTTCAAAAATAAAAACCCACAATAATACGGACAAATAATTGTAGAAAAGATGGTTTCATTCCTCCTCCTCCTCCTCCTCCTCCTCCCACCTTCCCCAGCTGCGGCTCCCTCGTCTCTCTCCCTCCTCTTGGCCTGCTCCTCCAGCCACATCACCCTGGGAGGTTTCTCCAGCTTCTCGGCCCGCTGCCTCGCCGCTGCCTGCGACGTCTGGGCCCTCCCCTGCTGCTCCTTCAGGGCCTGCTGCAGGGCCTCGTTCCGGGCGTCGCGGTCCAGCTTCTCGTCGCCGAGTCCCTTCTCCAGGTTCTTCTCGTTCATCTTCTCCACCTTCCTCTGGGCGGCGAGCAGCGCCTGCTTCTCGGCCTGCTGGTGTTTGTGGGACTGCAGGTGGTTCTGGTAGGCGTTGGCGGTGGAGAACCTCTTGTTGCAGGTGGCGCAGCCCTCGGTGGCCGCCGCCTCGCTCAGCTGCTGCTCGGCGGCCGCCCGCTGCGCCAGGACGCGCTCCTGGAAGTTCTCCGCGGTGACCGGCGGCATGTCGGCCACCTTGCGCTTCAGGTTGTAGCGGTGCCAGTCGGTCTTGTAGTGCGCTCGCTGCACCTCGCCGTCTGTGAAGGCCACTCTGCAGCTGATGCAGGTGTAGGACGCCATGGCGAGCTGGAGGCCAGACGGGAAAGGTTGTTTGCTTTATTCTGAAATATGTGCTGTTCTGCTGTTTGCTCATTTCTCTTTTAGACAATTTACATTAATTACATTTCTTACAGAAGTGAACAGAACAGATATAAAGTGTATTTCTTAGGTTTTCTTACAACCTTTAAAATCAAGAAGACCATGAAAGTTTGGCGACCCCTAACGGGGGTTGGGAACCACAGGTTGGGAACCACTGGTTGGGAACCACTGGTTGATGATGATTCTTACTGTTACTTTGTTGTCCAACAAACTGTCTAATTAAACCCTCATATCTGAGAGAATCAGACAATAAAGGATTGATTATTAAAACACACACACACACACACACACACACACATATATATATATACACATACATTGACTATAGTGGAGGAACCACAGACAGACAGACAGGAGGAACCACAGACAGACAGACAGACAGACAGACAGACAGGAGGAACCACAGACAGACAGACAGACAGACAGGAGGAACCACAGACAGACAGACAGACAGGAGGAACCACAGACAGACAGACAGGAGGAACCACAGACAGACAGACAGACAGACAGGAGGAACCACAGACAGACAGACAGACAGACAGACTATAATATATAATCTAAGCAGCGGTCTGTGATCGGTGCCATTAGTATTAATGATTCAATGTAGAACACAAGAGAAGAACAAACGTTACATTAAACCTCTCCTACCGGAGAGAGCTACCGGAGAGTTACCGGAGAGTTACCGGAGAGCTACCGGAGAGTTACCGGAGAGTTACCGGAGAGCTACCGGAGAGGCAGAAAGCTTTTCTTTCTGTTTCCAACCTCAACTTTAATAAAGTTTAACGTCGGTTAGCAGCAGCAGCTAATGTAAAGCTCCTGTAAACAACAACAGCGTCTGACAGTGTTTACTCACAGTGTTTACCGACAGTGTGTACCGACAGTGTGTACCGACAGTGTTTACTTACTACTTCAGTGAGCTGACTCTTCCGGAAGATGACAAAATGATTTTTAATCTGTTTTTGTTTTTTAGTAAAATGTGCTCCGTTCACCACGCGAGGGGAACTTCCGGGTTACTTCTTCTTCTTCCTGTCTTTTGGCAACCAGCGTTTCCGGCGCATTACCGCCACCTCGTGTTTTCACATGAGTACGACGAGTTTAACAAAGACAGGTGTGTTTATCTGGAGCTCTGTCTGGATACACACACACACACTTGGTCATATACAGAGATTAGTTTCTTTAATTGTTCCTCGTTAACTAAAAGTGAACTAAAAACTAAAACCAGCTGTTATAAAACATTGTAGTTAACTGAAAATAAAAACTAGACTTTAGAGAAAGCAATGAAACTAATTGAAACAACATTGTGTTATAACTAAAATGAAATAAAGAATATACTGGAAATGTCTATTTTTAGCACAAGCGTGAGAATGAATACGGTTTACTGAGACTAGGTTTTCTACGACTGTGAGTCAGTGGTTTTCTGTTTATAGCAAACCCTCTGAGAACTATAATTAAAATGAAATAAGAATATGAAATATCTGATAATGATTCCTGTAAACTCCCTCTCAGTGACACAGTCCAGGGAAACACGAGGTGGGAATTCCTTATCTAGAAGACTAGAGACACAAACTTCAGTCTCATATCAGCTTAATATTACTATTACAGTTATTCCAGTGGAGGGTGCTATTGTACAAAGGAGTGAAGCTTAGTGGGAACAGGGAGAGTTTATGTGTTACACAAAATGAAATGAAACAAGCATGCATGAATTAACTTTAACTATATCTGTTTTAGGCTTCCACCTGGTTCTGTCTGACTCTAGTTGAATAAGTTACAATAAAAATATATCGACTCAATCTCTGAATGATGACCGTAAAGCATGACTCCTTTATCATAAGCTTTATTTCACCTTATTTACATATTCTTGACAATCTCTGGCACTGCTAAACACTAAATCATCTTGTACATTTATTAACACCAGTGAGGTTTACTTTATTTGACATTATGAAGCAGAGGACATTAAAGCACACACAGGATGTTAAAGATGACAC